ACCCTACTCTCCAAATTTTCAAGGAGACCAATTTGAGTCATACAACTCCGGTCTCCCGTTTAGCTGGCTGTGCGTGTATTAAACTCTTTCTCTATTGCAATTCCCCTGTCTTGATAAATCAGTTCTGTCTGGGCAGCAGGACGGAAAAACTCACTGGGCAGTTACAATTTCAACTCCTAGCATCTTGCTCAAAAACTAAGATGAATCAGTTAACTTCCACGATCAAAAATGGCTGTGACTTAAAATCTCTTTCTTTGAAGGAATGTTAATGTCAAACATCATTTTTTGTCCCACAGATTTCAGTTGGGCAGGGCTCAGTGGGAAAGTTTATCTCTATTGTATCAGCTGGGGCAATTTGACTGAAGGCTGGAGGATCTGCTTCTGCTTCCAAACTGGCTCATTCAACACAGCTGAGGGCCAAAGGCCTTGGGTCCAATCCATGTGGTGATAACTGCAGAATTCTTGGCACATAAAGACTCCTTCCAAACCTCTGCACGTAAGAGATGACCATATCTCATGAGCAAAAGAAAAGAAAAGAAAAAAGAGAGAGAGAGAGAGAGTATCAAATTTTTGCATTGCTTCTGGGAGCTTAGGGTCAATTCTTTGGAATGATCCTGGGCTTCCTGCCCCCACTCTCCCATTGAAATCATCAGGAAGAATAGGGGTTCTGTCTTCCAGTCTGTGTAGGGGACAGTAGCCTGATTTTCATAGTTACTGGCTAGTAGGCACAACTAGCCTAGTGACATTAACATTGACCCACCCTTTGTAATTTTTTACTCAAGCTCTGCTCTCTCCCCCTCCTCTTTTACTCTTTCTTTAAAAGACCCAGTCACATCTACAAAAATTGGATGAAGCTCAGCTCTTCCCCTGCTGTCTGTTAGTAGTTACTGAGTAAAATCTGTTTTCCACACTTTAACTAACGTTCGGCTTTGTTTATATTTGACAATAGGTGATAACATTGGGCTTTGTTTATATTTGACAATAGGTGACCTGGTCTTTCCCACAGTATTTTGGCTGGGTTCAAAGGGTGAATGAAGAATGACTGAGAGAATGAGAGACAGAGAGAGCACATGTGCCAGTCAGGTGAAAGACCTCTTACATTTTATGACTAAGTTTCGTAAGTCAAATAATAACCTCAAGGAAATTTAACTTCCCCATATCAGAGGTGTCCAAACCACAGTGACTCCATCTTGAGTGAGGGCTAGGAAAAATGAGACTGGGACTTGCTGGACTGCATTCCCAGAAAGTTAGGTATTCCTAGCCTCTAGATGTTCATAGTTAAGAGAACACATTGATAACATTTACTAAACAGACCCAGACTTAGGAGTGTCCTGATATCCTGATATCTTGAGAATAGAAGCATTCCTAATTTTGCTTTAAAGATAATGATATCAATTCTTGCAAAATATGGTAATTAGGAAGATTAATCCTTTATCACAAATCCTTGTAGCAGAGCACATCTCCTCATGATCTTTTTGGATCCTATATATAAACAAGTATTGTACCTAGGGTGGACGCATTCCTCCTTTTACTTTCGGGAACATTCTACTCTCTATGGAGTAACTGTTCTCTCATCATTTTACTTTCTTAATAAACTTGCTTTCGCTTTGCACTGTGGACTTGCCCTGAATTCTTTCTTGCATGAGATCCGAGAACCGTCTCTTGGGGTCTGGATGGGGACCCCTTTCAGGTAATACTCACACCTCCATGCCACCCCCGTTCTAAAAGGCTTTGAAAACATGGGTATTAACAAGCAAAGGATATTTTAATAAAATACTTATTTGATGGTTTATTGCCACCAATTTTACTTACATTGCAATAATTATTTAAATTACATTTTTACTAAAAATAGTAAAGATAATTTCACATCATTTATTTAAGTTAAACAATTTGAAGTTAAACTTTAATTGTTAAAACAATTTAAGTTTTTCTCTTAGTCGCTAAAAGAAAAACTTTGGACAAATTAACAGTTTATTTAAGCAAAGAACAATTCATGAATTGGGCAGCACTTAAGAGATTCAGAGCGCTTCACCCTGCAGGTGAGCCGTAAGCTTTAATAGAAAACTAAAGCAATTACTTGATTGGGTACAGCTGGGTGTTTGCCTTATTTGGGTGTGTGAGCTGGGCTCAGTGGCTCATGCCTGGAATCCCAGCACTTTGGAAGGCCGAGGTGGGTGGATCATTTGAGGTCAGGAGTTCAAGACCAGCCTGGCCAATGTGGTGAAACCCCCTCTCTACTAAGAATACAAAAATTAGCCGGTTTTGGTGGTGGGCTCCTGTAATCCCAGCCACTCAGGAGGCTGAGGCAGAGAATTGCTTGAACCTGGGAGGCAGAGGTTGCAGTGAGCCGAGATTGCATCATTGCACTCCAGCCTGCGTGACAAGGCAAGACTCTGTCACCAAAAAAAAAAAAAAAAAAAGGAAAATCCCTAATTAGAGGTTAGTTGGCAGTTTCTGATTGGTTAAGCTTAAGTTTTGTTTTACTGTTGTCTTACTGTTTACATTGAATTCTGGTTTGCTTACATACAAGCTCCAGCTACAGAGACAGATGATATCAGGCTCATGGCCTTCTTATTTGCTTTGACATAGTAAAGTGTTGATAATGATTTCCAAAGGAAGCAATATCATTATTTTAAAATTAATATCCCCAGTGTATATACAGGTAAAATACTAAGATTTTAATAAACTTATTTATTTATTTATTTATTTATTTATTTATTTATTGAAATGGAGTTGTTCTGTCGCCCAGGCTGGAGTGCGGTGGCATGATCCCAGCTACCTGCAGCCTTAGGCTACTGGGTTCCAGCAATTCTGCCTCAGCCTCCTGAGTAACTGGGATTACTGGTGCCAGCCACCACTCCTAGCTAATTTTTTGTATTTTTAGTAGAAATGGGGTTTTGCTATGTTTGCTAGTCTGGTCTTAAACTCCTAACCTTAAATGATCTGCCCGACTTGGCCTCCCAAAGTGTAGGGATTACAGGCACGAGCCACCGCGCCTTGCCAAATTATTTAATATTTATTTATTTTTTGAGACAGGGTCTCACTCTGTTGCCCAGGCTGTAGTGGCATGGTCACAGTTCACTGCAGCCTCCCCAGGCTTAGGCAATCCTCCCACCTCAGTCTCCCAAGTAGCTAGGACTACAGGTGTGTACCACCACACTGGGTTAATTTTTCTATTTTTCGTAGAGACAGGGTTTCACCATGTCGCCCAGACTGATTTTGAACTCCTGTACTCAAGCAGTCCAGCCACCTTGGCCTCCCAAAGTGCTGGGCATTGTGAACTCCAACGCCCAGCGTATGTACTTATTTTCAGATACTTCTAAACCATTTGTGTTCAACTTCTGTTCTTGCCCCATAGTCACCTTGAGACTCATCACTTAGCCAACTCCAAAAGCATTGCTGATTACTGTGAATTTTACTAAGGTTTTCTTAAGAGGGTTTCATTGTCTCAAAATTGTTTCCGAAATATCCTGTTACCTGTCTCTACCTGATTTTCTCCTATCTTCAGGGTTCCATTTCCTGTCCTCCCGCCTGTCATTATACCTTCCATAAGCCCCTGCTTTTGTCCCAGCAGTTTTCCCTGTGTCAGTTTACATGCCCCAGGAAGCAAAACAAAAATAGCAAAACAGTAATGCCTTCTTACAGCTCCTCAATCTGGAAAATGTTTTATATCAAGCTCATTTATAAATCAAGGATTGGCAATTTTAAAAATTAAAGAAAGGAGAATTTGAAAAAAAATGAATTGGTCGGGCATGGTGGCTCAAGCCTGTAATCCCAGCACTCTGGGAGGCCGAGGCGGGCGGATCACTTGAGGTCAGGAGTTCGAGACCAGCCTGGTCAACATAGTGAAACCCTGCCTCTACTGAAAATATAAAATTAGCCGGGCGCGGTAGCACGCACCTGTAATCCCAGATACTCAGGAGGCTGAGGCAGGAGAATCGCTTGAACCCGGGAGGCGGAGGTTGCAGTGAGCCAAGATCGTGCCACTGCACTCCAGCCTGGGCGACAGAGCCAGACTCTGTCTCAAATTAAAAAAAAAAAAAAGGGGGTCAGAGTCAGCTGAAGGGCAGACAGGAGTTTGGTTATTCAAATCAGCCTACCAGAAAATTCGGAGACTGGGGTTTTTAAAGAATGACTTGGCGGGTAGGGGGCCAGGGAGTGGCGAATGCTAATTTGTCAGGTGGGAGGTGAAATCTTAGGGGGTTGAAGTGGGCTCTTGCTGTCTTCTGTTCCTGAGTGGGACTGTAGAACTGGTTGAGCCAGATTATGGTCTGAGTGGCGCCAGCTCATGCATCGGAATGCGGGGTCTGAAAAGTATCTCCAGCACCAATCTTAGGTTTTACAATAGTGATGTTATCCCTGAGAGCAACTGGGGAGGTTAGGAATCTTGTAGCCTCTGGCTGCAAGACTCCTAAATCATAATTTCTAATCTTGTGGCTAATTTGTTAGTTCTGCAAAGGCAGACTGATCCTCAGGCAAGAAGGGGGTTTGTTTTGGGAAAGGGCTGTAAAAAATCTTTGCTTCAAAGTGAAACTACAAATTAAATTCCTCCTGTAGTTAGTTGGGTCTTCGCCTGGGAATGAACAAGTGCAGCTCGGAGGTGAGAAGCATGGAGTCATTTAGGTCAGATCCCTTTCACAGTGGTAACTTTCTCACTGTTAGGATTTTTGCAAAGGCAGTTTCGTGAAGGTACACAGACAGGCCCTTGCTATTATCCTGGTTTTTTAGATAAGGATATCCAGGCGATGAGGAAGTTTTACTTCTGGGAACAGCCTGGATGCGAAACCTTCACACGTCAGTGTCTTTTGGACATTTTCTCGTCAGTACAACCCTGTTGAACGTTCTCACGATGGGGAGGTATGTGCTTAAAATGCGGGGAAGGTGCTTTTATTTCATCCCTGGTGAAACTAGGCGAGCTAATTTTTTTAAACAGGATTTTTGGCCCCCTTGAACCGTCGGCCTGGACTACATTTCCCTGCAGGCCGTGCTCAAGACTACGGGTGCCTGCAGGAGGTCAGCGTCGTTGGCAGCGGCGCAGGCGCAGGCGCGGAGCGGACGGCGGACGGGCGGGCGCTTTGCGGTTTGAATGGCTGCGGGCCCGGGCCCTCACCTCACCTGAGGTCCGGCTGCCCAGGGGTGCGCTATGCCGTCGGGAGGTGACCAGTCGCCGCCGCCCCCGCCTCCTCCTCCGGCGGCGGCAGCCTCGGATGAGGAGGAGGAGGACGACGGCGAGGCGGAGGACGCCGCGCCGCCTAACGAGTCGCCCACCTCTCAGATCCGGCAGCGGTTCGACGAGCTGTGCAGCCGCCTCAACATGGACGAGGCGGCGCGGGCCGAGGCCTGGGACAGCTACCGCAGCATGAGCGAGAGCTACACTCTGGAGGTGCGCTCGCGGGCGGAGGGGCGCTTCCGGCCTAGTCGGCGTGAACCGATGCCTTCCGAGCCGCGTCGCGCGGCACGAGAGACCCTCGGGCGGGTTGCGGGATCCCAGCCGGGAGAGGCGTGGGGACCCCCTCTGCGCTATTCCGAGGCACTTAGCCGCTCCGAGGGCGAACCTGCTCTCGCCGCGCTTCCCCGCGGCTTCCGAATGGGGAACGCGTTTTGCCCTAAAGTAACATAGGGAAGCTGAGATCGCGCTGGGGTCCCGATGAGGAAGATGGGTGTGTGTGGCCCATCTGACCCCCCGCCCGCCTTGTTAGTAGAATGAACTAGTGTCGTTATGAAGACCGCACGGGGAAGGGGAGGGGACTTGCCCTTATTTGCACCGCGATTAACCGGGCTGTGGCACCTGGATCTCCAGGCGTCTCCGTCTGTTCGCTTCCCCCTGTTAACCAAATTGCCTTTGCCCAGACGTTGCTGGCGTTAGAGTCAACGAGCTGATGCGTTTTGGGCTGTGTTTACGTCTGTGTAAACAAATTAAGACTCATTTTCCCCCAGGCCACATGAAATGAGCCCTCCGCCGACCCGGATATAGATACATGCCCCCATTTGTCACTAGGCTCAGGCTTGTGGCTACCTCGAGGGCTTTTTGGTCACCCCGGGCATTGCACAGGACTCCTGTTGTCGGGATCCGGGCGTGTTAGGTCGCAGCCTTCGGACTGGGCTTGCGGATGAGAAAAATGGCCATTCTAGCCAGTGACTGTTAGCTCTGTAGGCACCTCCCTTTCATGGGCCAATGGGAAGTGACACGGAAGTACGGATTGTTTATCAGCTCCTCTACTGTGTGTGTGTGGCATTTAAACCTGAGGCCATTTAATTTCTCAAGTAGTTTTATAATTACTTTGGATAAAGAGGGGGGCAAATAGGCCCAGGATGCAAAGCCTAACCAAGGTATTATTTAAATATGATGTTTTTGGCTATGTGTACTGATGAGTGAGGTTATTTTAAATTTGTATTTGCATTAATAGAATTTTGATTCAATTACGATTTCCCTCTTTGAATTGTTATATCTGCAGAAGAAAGATAGTGTATGGTGGCTTTAGAACCCGACAGACCTGGGTGACTGAACAATTTACTTAACCGCTGGAAAGTTGAGTTTTGTGATCTCTAAACTGGAGATATGTGTGTTTACCTCACAGAGCTGTTCTGAAGATTAAATAAGGCAACAATGTAGTTTCTGGCACATAAAGCACCCATATGGACGGTGCTTTCAAGTTTCCTAAGCTCTTTGTATATTTACATGATCTGGCCGAGTAAACTATGTTCCTGTCCATCTCTCAGTGCCTTTCTGTAGTCTGGCAAAGAGAAGGACTGGTTGACTTTTTTTTTTTTTTTTTTTTTTTTTGCTTTTTTTTTTTCTTTGGTAAAGGGCCTAAAAGGCTTCTAAACAAGCTTTTATTTTACCCTCAGGATGATCCTGTAAATTAGATAGAACAAGCGTTATCACCATTTAGTTGAGGTATGTCAACTCATAGTGGTTAAGTTGTATGAAGTCCAGTGATACATGAGCAAATACCACGTAAGAGCTGGTTAGTAAATTATTTTTGAAAACACATGTTTGATTACTCAATTCTTTTGATTACTGAGACTTTAGTTTCAGCTTCTTAGCCCAGTTTATTCAGTAAATGATTTACTCAGTAAAATATTCATCAAATATTTCTTGAGCACCTGTTCCCAGTGCTACACACTGTTCTCAGTGCTGGATATAGAGCATCAAACAAAGCCTAAAAATACCTGCCTTTGTGGGGCTTATAGTGAGCTACACTGTGAGATAATGTGGGATGTCATTCTCATGGGAGTGTAAGGGGAAATAAAGCTCTTATGATATTTAATACAGAACACTGGTTATGGAAATTTAATTTGATTCATTGTATTTTCTGTGCATTTTTAACCTATAACTCATTCTTACAGTCCTCAGCCAAAAAAATGCAGCCTCTGAGACTGTTTAGTAATTTTCCCACTGTGTTATAGCTACTGTATGGCAGAGCCAGAATTTGAAACCAGATCTATTTGACCCTATAAGATATGGCCACGAGATGTTAATTTTGAGGATAACTATTTTTTAGTATTATGGAATTTTTCAACAAATATTTTTTAGGACCAAAGATAAACTAGGCAGAGTCTACTCTTTGCATAAATTGTTTAAAAGAGCTTCCCGCTCTGTTTTATCATCTAAGCACGGTAAAATTCTCACAAGACTAATTCTTTTCTTCTTTTTAGGAAAGATGCAGTTGTAGACTTTCTTTTTTTGTTGTTGTTGTTTTCTCTGTGCCATCCAAGTAGTTGTGAATTTTCTAGAGCCAAAATAGAACATTATAGATTATCTTTTAAACCCTTTATTGAAGCACAGGATAATGCTATGACTGACTTAACTTTATACTTTCTAAGAGATCTTGATAGAGTAGAGAAATGCAGTAGTTATGCATCTAAATTTGCTTTTACATCATAAATCAAGAATATTATGAAACCATCTCCCAGAGACATATATAATACATAAATCTTGGCTGTTTTTTTTGACAATAGAACATCTATGCTATTGATACATATAAGTGGGTTTGTAAGACAGTCTATGTGTAAATGTGAAAAATGAAGAATTTCCAGTTTTTCTCATTTTCATTTAGACCAGTAATGAATACAGTGAAGCCAAAGGACATCTTCCATCCTTCCTCGCTTTTATAGGAAGAGGAAAGTTGTATCACTTCTTGAATAAAAAAGGATTGTGAAGATGATCTTTTAGAAACAATGCCTTAAAAATTATTATTTTTGAATGTATCTGGTAGGGGATCCACAATAGTCTCATTTGGTTATAAAAATAAATTTTATGTATTCATGTATGTGTTTTGATTAGGTATAAAATTAGTGGCTGAATATCCATTCAAGCTTAATTTTGTATTTCTATCACTTTTCTAGATTTTGTGCAAGATTAAAAATATAAACAATAGGCCGGGTGCGGGGGGCTTACGCCTGTAATCCCAGCACTTTGGGAGGCCGAGGTGGGCGGGTCATGAGGTCAGGAGATCGAGACCATCCTGGCTAACACATTGAAACCCAGTCTCTACTAAAAATACAAAAAATTAGCTGGGCATGGTGATGGGTGCCTGTAGTCCCAGATACTTGGGAGGCTGAGGCAGGAGAATGGTGTGAACCTGGGAGGCGTAGCTTGTAGTGAGCCAAGATGGTGCCATTGCACTCCAGCCTGGGTGACAGAGCAAGACTCCATCTCAAAAAAAATAAATTAAAAAAAAAAACAACAATAATATTGTTTCCATTACTATGGCTATGTAACAAATTGCCTTAAGGCTTTGGGACAGAAAACAATTTGTTTGGCTCACAGCTTCTGTAAGGAATTCAGGCTGGGGACAGTGTGGATGTCATGTTTCTGCATCAAAATGACTGGTATCTCACCTGGAAGACTTGAACAACTAGGTACTGGCAGAGCTGGAGCTCATTGGGCATCTCTGTATGTTTGTTCCATGTGGTCCCACCAGCATGGTGATCCAGGGTAGCTAAATTCTTTCATGTTGGTTCAGTACTCCCAAGGTACATGTCCTAAGAGAGAGAACCAAGTGGAATCTATATTGCCTTGTATAATCTTTAGAATTACATAGTTTCACTTCCACCTCTGCTGTTGATAGAGACAGTTAATCAATGTGAGAGATGCAGACCCTTGCCCGGGTCCAAGGTGAGGGAACCCTCTCTACCTCTCAGTGGAATAATGTCAATGTCACATTATAAGAAGAGCATATGGAACTGGGTACAGTGACTCAAACCTGCAATCCCAGCACTTTGGAAGGCCAAGGCGGATGGATCACTTGAGGCCAGGAGTTCAAGACCAGCTTGGGCAACATGGCAAAACCCTGTCTCTACAAAAAATACAAAAATTAGCCAGGTGTGGTGGCGCACGCCTGTAGTCCCAGCTACTTGGGAGGCTGAGGTAGGAGGATTGCTTGAACCTGGGAGGTGGAGGTTGCAGTGAGCCAAGATCGTGCCACTGCACTCAAGCCTGGGTGACAGAGTGAGACTCCATCTCAAAAAAAAAAAGAGCATATGATATAGGGTCATCATTGAAAATAAGTTTCCCACAAAAATATAAACAACACTTTCAGTTTAAATGTACTTTAAAAAATATTGAAATATATATATGTAGCTTATTAACTAAAAATCAATTTTCTCTTCTTTTACAGGGAAATGATCTTCATTGGTTAGCATGTGCCTTGTATGTGGCTTGCAGAAAATCTGTTCCAACTGTAAGCAAAGGGACAGTGGAAGGAAACTATGTATCTTTAACTAGAATCCTGAAATGTTCAGAGCAGAGGTAACTATGTTAGAGTTTGAGAAGTAGAGTATGGCTAATGTAAGCTCATAAATCATAGCGATAGTAAGAATTATGTCTGTTCATCATTTTCTGAGCATTTGTACCTGTGGACTGGTGAAATTAGATGCTAAAACTAGCATCTAATGATTTTCCTTTATTTGTATCAAAGTTAGTATCCCTTATATTTTACTTCTTTGGTGAAAATATTTAAATTTTAATGTATTAGGCACTTATATGGAAGAATTTATTCTTAAAGGTTAGGACATTGTATAATATTGGGAGAAATGAAGGATATTGAGAAACTTTAGGAGATACTCTAAGTTGAAAAGGCAAATAAAATATTATTTGCTATTATACTTAGAAATATGTGCACAGGACTTGTGGTCTTAATATAAATAGAATGAGTATTTCTCAGTTTCCTGTTTGGAGGATAAATGACACGATTATAATCCATTTTAGAAAGGGTCAAATACGTTTAAAAGAAGAGGCAGAAATTGCTTCATCTGTTGTGTAATTAAATTGATTACATTTATTTTTTGTGCCTTTTAGGTGAATTTTCTTACATAGCTTATTGAAGATAAGTGGAAAAATGATGTTTAGCATTTTGGGGGAAATTACAACTCAAAATTTATGGATTTAATGGTTTTAAAAAAATCACTTACTAAATAAAAAAATTAACTGGGTGTGGTTGTGCATACCTGCAGGCCTAGCTACTTGGGAGGCTGAAATGGGAGGATCACTTGAGCCCTGAATGTTGGAGCAGTACTGCACTCCAGCTTGGGCAACAGCAAGACCTTGTCTCCAAAACAAAAAACAAAAAAGGTTACTATTTAAATAATTAACAGGCTGGGCGCGGTGGCTCATGCCTGTAATCCCAGCATTTTTGGAGGTCGAGGTGTGTGGATCACTTGAGGTCAGGAATTGGAGACCAGCCTGGTCAACATGGTGAAACCCCGTCTCAACTAAAAAAAACGAAAATTAGCTGAGTGTGGTGGCGTGCGCCTGTAATCTTAGCTACTCAGGAAGCTGAGGCAGGAAAATCACTTGTGCCCGGTAGGCAGAGGTTGCAGTGAGCCTAGATCATTGCACTATTGTACTCCAGCCTGGGTGACAAGAGTGAGACTCCATCTCAAATAAAATAAAATAAAATAATTCACAACGTCATGTTTTAGCTGACGTTGTCAATTTTAGTAATCTTTTTTTAACCTTTAACTCCATCCTGAGTTACATTGGCCAAAGAATCAGTATCCAGAATTATATAAGGAACTACTAACAGGGTTAATAAAATGAATAAAGAATATGACTTCACAAAGGTTATAATTTGTATAGCTAATAGATACAAGAAAAGATACTCAATGTCACTAGTAAAGACTTTCAAAGTAGAAATATAACATTTCTTTTTTTTTTTTTTTTTTTTGAGGTGGAGTCTTGCTCTTTCACGCAGGCTGGAGTGCAGGGGCGTGATCTCAGCTCACTGCAATCTCCACCTCCCAGGTTCAAGCAATTCTCCTGCCTTGGCCTCCCAAGTAGCTGGGATTACAGGCGCACGCCACCACACCTGGCTAATTTTTTGTATTTTTGGTAGAGACGGGGTTTCACCGTGTTGGCCAGGCTGGTCTCCAACTCCCGACCTCAGGTGGTCCACCCGCCTTGGACTCCCAGAGTGCTGGGATTACAGGTGTGAGCCACCATGCCTGGCCAACATTTTATTCTTATTATTGGGAAAATTTGAAGTCTTTTATGCCAAGTTTGGTCACTGTACAGGGAAACAGGAACTCTCTTTTTTTTTATTTTTCAATTCCCTTTTTTTTTTTTTTTTGAGATGGAGTCTCACTCTGCTGCCCAGGCTGGAGTGCAGTAGCTTGATCTCTACTTACTGCAACCTCTACTTCTCAGGTTCAAGTGATTCTCATGCTTCAGCCTCCCAGAGTAGCAGGGATAAAGGCACACGCCACTATACCTGACTAATTTTTGTATTTTTTGTGGAGACCAAGTTTCACCGTGTTGGCCAGGCTAGTCTCAAACTCCTGACCTCAAGTGATCCGCCTGCCTTGGTCTCCGGAAGTGCTGGCATTACAGGCATGAGCCACCGCGCTTAGCCAGGAACTCTATATTGCTGGTGTACATTGGTGAAAGTCAAAATTGGCATAACGACTTTACTAGGAAATTTGGTGGTATCTAGTAACATTGAAGGTGCACATTCTCTTACTCTACTTCTTGGAGTAGTCCCTAAAGAAACTCCTGCACATGTGTATAAGGATGTTTTCATTACAACACTTTTTGTTATCATGGAATATTAGAAACAACCTAAATTTAGGTTGGGGGATGAATGCAAAAAATCCTTGTATGTTCATATGAAAGAATGTTTTTAGCAATTAAAATGAATATATCTTACATATCAACATTAATGTCAGAAACATTGAGTGTGAAAAAGCATGTTGCAGAATACCACTGAAGTATGATACCATTTATATAAAATGAAAAAACATGTAATAAGTAATAAGATATTGCTTATTGTTTACACAGACATGTGTATGTGTAGTAAGTGTGAAAACATAGGAAGGATTAAGACCAACTTTGGAATGGTGTTTATCTTTGGGGAAGAAGGGTAGGGATGGGATTAGGGAGGAGTATAAAATGGGAATTTTGATTTTTTTTCTTTCCTTTTTTTTTGAGACAGAGTCTCGCACTGTCGCCGGGCTGGAGTGCAGTGGCATGATCTCTGCTCACTGCAACCTCCGCCTCCCAGGTTTAAGTGATTTTCCTGCCTCAGCCTCCTGTGTAGCTGGGATTACAGGTTCCCACCACCACGCCCAGCTAATTTTTTGTATTTTTAGTAGAGACGGGGTTTTACCACATTGGCCAGGCTGGTTTCGAACTCCTGACCTTGTGATTCTCCTGCTTTGGCCTCCCAAAGTGCTGTGATTACAGGTGTGAGCCACTGTGCCTAGCCTTGGCTGTTTCTATAGTGTTGCTGGTTTTAAAAAAAATCTGAAGTGGCGGGGGTTGGGGGAGGTGGCTCATACCTGTGATCACAGTGTTCTGGGAAGCCAAAGTCGGAGGATCACTCAAACCCAGGAGTCTGCAATGAGCTGTGATCTTGCCACTGAACTCCAACATGGGTGACACAGCGAAACCCTATCTCTTAAAAAAAAAAAAAAAAAAAAAGAACTGAAGCAAAAATGACAAAATTTATTTAATATGTTAACATTTAAAAAATCTGGCAGTGAACCAGTGTGAATGTTGGTTAGGTTACTCTTGTTAATTTTGGTTTGTATTTTCAAATATTTCATAGTTAACAAATACTTTAGGTAACCTAAACAAAATTAATTCGGATGATCAGAGGAATATACCAATCTGTAAGAAATTAAGCTAGTCAGAGACACCAGTTATGATTTTATTTCACTGTCTAAAAGTAATATAATTTAATGAGATAATATTGATTTACTTTTGAATACTTACTTTTGTATACTTTACCTTTATGTTAATTATGAAATATCTTATTGTTTTCTTTAATACCAGCTTAATCGAATTTTTTAATAAGATGAAGAAGTGGGAAGATATGGCAAATCTACCCCCACATTTCAGAGAACGTACTGAGAGATTAGAAAGAAACTTCACTGTTTCTGCTGTAATTTTTAAGAAATATGAACCCATTTTTCAGGACATCTTTAAATACCCTCAAGAGGAGCAACCTCGTCAGCAGCGAGGAAGGAAACAGCGGTAGGTTTTCATGTTGGTTCATCGGGAATACACATTAGTCTGTGCTGCAGTGTTAATATTTTGCTAGTTTTTCTTTTTCTAGTTTTAAAAAAGAAACGAGATTTAAAAAATCTTTTTCCACAATAGTTTTCTTTTAATGATGCTTTTTTTGCTTTTCATTGTGGGTTAGCCATGAAGAGTTTGACTTTTTTCATGTTGCTAAATGTATACGGGTCTTTGTTTCTATAAACTTTCATTTTTGTTATTTTATTTTATTTTTTTATTATTTTTCCCTCAGTGATCCTTGTTCTGAAACCTTCCTTTTTCATTTAAGCAACAAAAAATGCAAACTGTACAAGTCAGACTTCAGGGATTTTCACCCTTTAGCTGCCTTGGAGATGTATCTGTATCTAGATACATATATTTTTTATTGCGCAGGGGCCGTGCTAATCAATGTATTGTACCAATTTTAGTATATGTGCTGCCGAAGGGAGCACTGCCCTAGATATAGATCACTATATTAACCACTATATTTTCTACTAGTGACTGTATAGACTATTTTACTTTTGTGTCAAATTGAGTAATAAATAATCCCCTTGAAATGACTTCTCTAGTATTTTGATGTTTCTAATGAATCAAGAATAGAGAGACTGGATTGGGAAAAGACAGGAGAACTGAAACTATTATGAATTTGTGCTTTCTGATCACTTCTGCAAAGTCTATAGGCATGCTCTGACTCAGTGTTTTCTACCTTTCCTCATAGATAAAGGCAGTTATGGGATACACATTTTCCTTCTTTATCATTGAAAATTTTTTCATAAAGTAGAAATGAAAATTCTAACAATTAGAAAAGTTGACAAGAAAAGTAAAGGGAAAGGAGTTAAAGTTATTTGGCTAGAATAGATAATGTTTGCTTCTCTTAAAATGTAAAAGTTTTCCCAGACTGTGAAGGATGTTCACAGTAAGTGTAACCTTTTGAAAATAAAATGGGGGAATGACAAAGCAGGAGGAAAAAAATTTTTAAAAACTAAAACTATTTACATTTTAATATAGATGGCACCACTGATACAGAAGCAGCTGGTCTAGCTCACTTACAGCTTTGGGGAATTGACTGTTTAAAATGAAGTATTCTGAGCCAGGCGGGGTAGGTTGGATTACACCTGTAATGCCAGCACTTTAGGAGGCTGAGGTGGGCGAGTCACCTGAGGTCAGGAATTCAAGACCAGCCTGGCCAACATGGCAAAACTCCAGCTCTACTGAAAATACAAAAATTAGCTCCGCGTGGTGGTGCACGCCTGTAATCCTAGCTACTCGGGAGGCTGAGTCAGAAGAATCCCTTGAACCGAGAGGCAGAAGTTGCAGTGAGCCAAGATTGTACCATTGCACTCCAGCCTGGGCGACAAGAATGAAACTCCATCTCATAAATAAATAAATAAATAAATAAATAAATAAATAAATAAATAAAAGGAGATACTCTGGCTGGGTGCCTGTAATCCCAGCACTTTGGGAGGCCAAGGCAGGTGGATCACTTGAGGTCGGGAGTTCGAGACCAGCCTGGCCAACATGGCGAAACCCCATCTCTACTAAAAATATAAAAATTAGCAGGGTGTGGTAGTGGGTGCCTATAATCCCAGCTACTTGGGAGGGTGAGGTGGAAGAATCACTTGAACCTTGGAGGTGGAGGTTGCAGTGAGCCGTGATCACGCCACTGCACTCCAGCCTGGGCGATAGAGCGAGACACCATTTTATTAATAAATAAATAAATAAATAAATAAAATGACATATTCTCCTAGCACTTTGGGAGGCCGAGGCAGGTGGATTGCTTGAGGTCAGGAGCTCAAGACTAGTTTGGCCAACGTGGCAAAACCCCATCTCCACTAAAAATACAAAAATTAGGCAGGTATGGTGGCATGTGCCTGTTGTCCCAGCTACTTGAGAGGCTGAGGCAGGTGAATCGCTTGAACCCAGGAGGCGGAGATTGCAGTGAGCTGCGATCGCCCCACTGCACTCCAGCCTCGGTGACAGAATGAGACTTCATCACTAAATAAATAAATAAAAAATGAAGTATTCTAAAGTTTGGATAGAAGCTTTGTGTTGAGTCTGAGTGAGGCCAGTGTGATCATTTATAGGAAGATATCTTTTTTGGGGTATCTGGAAAATAATTTCAGATTGCACTTGTTTTGATATTTCTTAGGATGTGTATACTACCTAATTCTAATTAAGATAATTTTAAAAGGCCATGTGCAGTGGCTCACACTTGATCCCAGCACTTTGGGAGGCTGAATCAGACGGATCACTTGAGCCCAGGAGTTTGAGACCAGCCTAGGCAGCATGGCAAAACTTCATCTCCACAAAAAAAATACAAAAATTAGCTTGGAATGGTGGCTCACACCCATGGTCCCAGCTACTGGGGAGGCTGAGGTGGGAGGATCACTTGAGCTTGGGAGGTTGAGGCTGCAGTGAGCTGTGATCATACCACTGTACTCCAGTTTGGGTGATAGAGCAAGACCTTGTCTCAAAAAAAAAAAGTAAATCACTTTATTAGAGATTTTACATTTTTATCACTTTGTATACTTTCTGTTAGCTCTGTCTGCTACCCGTAGTCATGATGTATAGCACTTACTGAGCATTTGTTTTGGGGCAGGGACTCTTAAGACTTCAATATGTATTACTTCAGTTAATCCCTCTGACAACCTTGTGATGCTCATACTGTTATTACAGATAGAGAAAATAAGCTGCTGAGAGGTTAAGTAATTTGGCCAGAGTCACACAACTGAGTGGAGCTTTTATTGAAACTGACTGCAGAACCCATGTGCTTTACTGTGACTGTATCCTGCATCTCTCACACACTATTTGAAAATTTGTCACTATTTGTTTAGCACATATCCACAGGAAATATGGTTAGGTATTACCTAGGACACAGGCATTTTTAAAACACCAAACCCCACAGTCTCTGTCTTCTGAGAACTTACAGTACAGTCAGCGAGATAAGGCAGGTATGAAGATTCCGGCGCATGCAATGCAGTGTGTTATAAAAGTCCCATGACTACAAGAGGGAATAGAAATGTAAAAAGACACAAAAGCAGTAAAACAAGAGAAAATGTAGGAGGTTAGTCAAGTTTTTTTTTTCCCTAGAATTCTCAAGTACAGCCAGAATTAAGAGTAGCTTAAGTGTTAAGCTAAAAAAAATTGAATTTTATTTTGGTAGGCAACCAAATTAGAAATAGTTTATCATGCGCCTATGGTAGAGAGTCTGCTTTTAAAAGCAGAACACTGACATTTAATCCTTGCCATGGACTGGTGAATTAAGTACAATATTGTACCCAAATAGAATAATCTTTTGACAGATGAAATGACTAAGTCCAGGTGAGCAAGTGTACCCTAGCTAATGGTAATGCTGAACTAAATCTAATCTAATCTCCACGGAATTTCGTTCCTCTCGGCACCTTGTTAGAATAAGGCTGTTGGGATGTGGAAACCACAGATTTCTTGTCTAAAAGTTGTCAGAGGTTTTGGTAGAAAAGCCAAGCTTAAAGCAGGTCTGAAACTTTAGCAGACAACTTGGCAATATACAACAGGTACTCTTAATGAATGGAAGTATAAGGAATTATAGGAAGCTCATAATTTACATTAAAAAGGCCTTTTGTGATTTGATATAGTCTGGAATATCTTTAGGGAGGGAGGGAGGGATACAGGTCATTAGCTATGATAAAGGAGAAAAAAATGAGGACGTATCTGACTGCATATAGTGGTCTTAAAGCAGCATAGCATTGCTATGTCATCAAAAGAACTATTTTTATTCATTTTATTTTCCACCTTACCTATCTTGCCCTCAAAAAACTTTAAAAAATTCTTTAAGAATTTTCTTTTCTTTGAAATGGGCTCTTTCCCCGGATCCCAGCTATTTCCTACCAGTATTTTGTTGAGGCAGAACGTCCTTGTTTTCCATGTGAAGCTGAATGTGGTCTCTCTCCTTTAACTGTGGGTTTTGACACCTAATTTATAGTCATTTGGGATGTTTTTTTTCTGATTCTTCTGTTATCTCATGACTTTTTTTTTTCTTCCCCCAAAGGCGACAGCCCTGTACTGTGTCTGAAATTTTCCATTTTTGTTGGGTGCTTTTTATATATGCAAAAGGTAAGAAAATAGTAATATTTGTTTAGATATTAATACGTCTATTTATATTTTCAGGTATTAATTTTGTCAACTTCTAACATGTATCAGGAAAAGATTTTCACTGAAAATTTTCTCAAGGGTTTTAATCTTAGATTCTTTTTTAAGTATTGCCTTTTTATCAAAGAATCTATTGGATTTCTTTGCAATATCCAGATCTTCTCTTATTAAATGGAAAGTTCTTTAATTTTGTTGTATACAACATCTTTACTACCCAAAGCAACTCTTTTAAATTATGAGCTGAAAACACATTATTCTGTATATGCTTGTATTGTGAACTCTAGTTTTCATGAGATGTATCTTATTTACTTGAGTGCAATTACTGATCTACCTCAGGACAGTTCAGATTTTTTTTTTTTTTGGTATCTTTTTCAGATAAGTATGCTTAGTCAAATACTTTTATATGCTACTTATTTTCTTTCCTTTTTTCTCGTTTTCTCATCTCATGACCTACGCAAGGTCTGCATTCAGTGAAATACATGTCTCTATTATTTTTTGTCCTTTTTGTATTTATTTATTTATTTATTTATTTATTTATTTATTTTGAGATGGAGTCTCACTCTGTCTCCCAGGGTGGATTGCAGTGGCACAGTCTCGGCTCACTGCAGCCTACACCTCCCAGGTTCAAGTAATTCTGCCTCAGCCTCCCGAATAGCTGTGATTACAGGTGCCCACCACCATGCCCAGCTAATTTTTGTGTTTTCAGTAGAGATGGGGTTTCGCCATGTTGGCCAGGCTGGTCTCGAACTCCTGATCTCAGGTGATCTGCCCACCTTGGCCTCCCAAAGTGCTGGGATTATAGGCGTGAGCCATGGCACCCGGTTCCTTTTTATATTTCTATGTAGAAACAATTCTTAGTAATCTAAAGTAGATAGGAAAGTGCAGTTATATTATTACATAGGTTTCTTCTGTATACTATGTGGAATGCCTTTGCCATTAAGATAGCTCAATAAAATGCAAAGTTAACAAAGAATCATAGAGCTGGAAGGAGTTTCATAAATATAAGAGAGATTCTCATTATTAGATTAACTAGCTTAACTTAATTTTTTTTTGAGATGGAGTCTCACTCTGTCGCCCAGGCTGGAGTGCAGTGGTGCGATCTTGGCTCACTGCAACCTCTGCTGCCCGGGTTCAAGCAATCTCCTGCCTCAGCCTCCCGAGTAGCTGGGATTACAGGTGCCTGCCACCGTGCCCGGCTAATTTTTTGTAGTTTTTTGTAGAGACGGGGTTTCACCATCTTGGCCAAGCTGGTCTTGAACTCCTGACCTCATGATCCACCTGCCTCGGCCTCCCAAAGTGCTGGGCTTACAGGTGTGAGCCATCGCACCTGGCCTAGCTTAACTTATTTACTTTATTTTTTATTTTTATTCTTATTTTTGAGACAGGGTCTTGCTTTGTTGCCCAGGCTGGGGTGCAGTGGTGTGATCTCTGCTCACTGCAACCTCTGCCTCTTATGTTCAAGTGATTCTTGTGCCTCAGCCTCTTGAGTAGCTGCGATTGCAGGCATGCACCGCTATACCCAGCTAATTTTTGTATTTTTAGTAGAGTTGGGGTTTTACCATGTTGGCCAGGGTGGTCTTGAACTCCTGACCTCAAGTGATCCGCCAACTCGGCCTCCCAAAGTGTTGGGATTATAGGTGTGAGCCACTGTGCTCAGCCAGCTTAGTTACTTTAAAGATGAGGCAGCTGAGCCCAGAAACTAGCTGCTGGCAACAAAGCTAAGATTTGAACTCAGATCTCCTGGTTCCTGGTTCTTAGTTTCATATTGGTTGTGAAGACCTCTGGGAAGAATGTGTGATATTGTTGGTCGCCAGGTTTGATTTAACTTAATTACAACTGGTCCCTCTCTAGCTAGTTAGGGTGAGAGCTGCCATCCTTCCTTCCCTAAGCTGCATGCTTGATTCAAGAGAAAAACCTTCTTTCATACATGACACTGGCATGTTTCTTTAGTGATGACAAAGGTGACATGATCAGTGGCATGAAATAAAGGTTTTGGAGTATATAAACCATTTTTACAGTGGCTACAAATTTTAGAATGTGTGACTGCTATTATATATGATGGTAATCTTTTCATATGATTGTATTGGGCAAGTATGTCTGACTTCTAGGATTTTTATCTGTTTTGTCTGTCTCTTATGGCATATGTGTACTTAGAAGTAAATGTATTTGGTACTGTAATAATATGTACAATACAATAAAAAATAATTTCATTGTCCTTATTTTGTTCTCATTGGACCCGTTGGGGTGGTTTTTTCTCTGTAATTAGCTCAGTGTTTGAATTTTATCTCATTAATTCAGTTTATAGTAATTCCACCTTAAGAACCTTTGTGGGTTGGGCATGGTGGCGTATGCCAGGAATCCTAGCTACTTGGGAGGCTGAGGTGGGAGAATTGCTTGAACCTGGGAGGCGGAGGCTGCAGTGAGCTGAGATTGCGCCTCTAGTCTGGGCGACAGAGCAACAGAGCAAGACCCTGTCTCAAAAAACAAACAAACAAAGAACCTTTGTCCTCTCACAATCCACCACTGATCTTTTATAATGCACGGTGATCTTTTCTAACAGTCATTTAATTGCTTTAATTCAGTTCTCATTTATTTTGGGGAAAGGGTTACTCTTTTGTAGCCACCTTTCTAATGACAAGCCAACTCCGGAGATGAAACATTTCTATTTACTTGTTATCTTTGTTGATTAAAAGATAAAATATCTCACACAAAGTCAGATTTATTTATAAGGTCAGGATTTGAAATATAAAACACGTCATGTTGAGAGAGTCCTAGAATTTAATTTAAATTAGATTCTGGTCTCTAGGGGCATTTCAGCTTTTTATTAGACATTACAGTGCTGCTGGTTTTTTTGCCTTCTATGGCAAGTGCACAACAGTAACAAGTTTAGGCTTGTTGGTGTGATGGGCTTTGTAGCTTGAAATCGGTAGGTGCTACTTACTTCCTTTTTTTTTTACATGAGAAACCAAGTATATTTTAATAGTAAACCTCTTTATAGAAGAACCAAGCAAGTTGGTTTGGCTATATCAATGCACAGTTTAATGTGTTGATTATCATTTGCCTCTTTGGCAACAAAAGAAATTTTTTTTCTCTTTAATTCATTTAAGTTGATTTGTTGAATGTTTCCATCTATACAAAAAAAGAATTGTTTTGTATGTGCTGAGGTAAGTGGTAACTTTCTCTGGAGGAACAGAGAGAAAGGGAAACCTGAAACAAAGCTGCGGGTGTGTGTGTGTACATATACACTTGGGTAGGCATTACGTGTGAAAACGCTAAGGTTTGGAAATAATTCTTCATATGCATGTTAGCTATTTAAACTGAATTTGATGATACAAGAATGTGAAATCACCATGAAGCATACATGTGCGGTGTTTAACCAAAAAAGGGATGGGCTTGAAGTTATAAAATAATTAGAAATCTTAATTTCTAGGAAATTAAGATAATAATAAAATGGCTTAACTACATGTAAAAATGCGTTCAGTGTTAGAGTTCAACCAGCACTGCAGAAATGACATGTTTCTGTCAGTTTAGGTTTTTGATTTCTTATTTCCTTGTTACCAAGCATCAGCAAATTATTCTTGGGATTATTAACTCTGGAATTGAAAGATATTTAATGGTACTCCTGTTGCATTAATTTGTCTGAGATTATATAGAAAAGTATTAAAAATGTTACTGTTGGAGTCTAATCAAAAGTTCTGGTCTTTTAAAAATATGTATATGAGAAATGGCGTGAACCTGGGAGGCAGAGCTTGCAGTGAGCTGAGATCGTGCCACTGCACTCCAGCCTGGGTGACAGCGAAACTCAGCTTCAAAAAAAAAATGTATATGAGAATAATTATATGAATGATTTTTTCAGCTGTCTCCTAAGTATTTCTAATAATTTTCATGACAGAAAAATGTTTTCATGCAAAACAGTTTCTTACAGTTTGAGATAATTTATGAATTTTTAGTGTTCAGAATTTTCAAAGACCAATGATGAAGTTTTAGTCAGCTACTAGGTATTTAATAAACAATGAATGAATGAATGGCATTTTTAGTAAAGTTATAGTTTTCACTAAGCTGTTAGACATTTATTAAAGGCTGGGCATGGTGGTTTACACCTGTAATCCTAGCACTTTGGGAGGCCACGGCAGGAGGATCACTTGAGTCCAGGAGTTTGAGACCAGCCTGGGCAACATAGCAAGACTCCATCTCTAAAAAAAGTTTTTAAATTAGCCATGTGTGGTGGTGTGTGCCTGTAATTTCAGCTGCCCAGGAGGCTGAGACAGGAAGATCCCTTGAGCCCAAGATGTTGAGGGTGCAGTGAGCCATGATCATACCACTGCACTCCAGCCTGGGTGACCCACCAAGACTCTGTCTCTTAAAAAAAAAAAAAAATGTGTGTGTGTGTATATATTTATTTATTTATTAAGATATAAGAGTAATATCTCAAAATTTAAATTTGCCAAAACACTTATTGTAATGAGTCAATTTTGTACAATGTTTTGTAATGTCATAATAATTAAAGGAAGAAATTGTTTTTAAAATGTTATAAAGTCAATGCTAATTTAACTCTATAAGTGCTTATAATCCTTCAGGTAATTTCCCCATGATAAGTGATGATTTGGTCAATTCTTATCACCTGCTGCTGTGTGCTTTGGACTTAGTTTATGGAAATGCACTTCAGTGTTCTAATCGTAAAGAACTTGTGAACTCTAATTTTAAAGGTAGGTTTGTAAATCAAAGGTTTTTGGACCATCTGCATTTCTGTGTTGTGTTTACCCTTGGAGTTGTACAGGTTTCCTATCGTCAGTATTTTGAAAAGCTCCTGTCATTACAGTTATCCAGGGTACTTATAACTAAGAGTCAAACTTCCTGTAAAAATATTTTTGGAAAAACATTTGCAGATACCACGGAGTTTAAAGTCTTAAATGACAACTTTAGAAATTTCTGAAATATATACTCAACAAGGAGAAGGCATTTAGAAACTCAGAGTTGCAAAGATGACATTAAAACCGATAGTGTTTTTCTACATTGGCAAACTTTGTGCCTGACACATCGTAGGAGATCAAAAAGAATTTGCTGAAAGAATCTTATTTCAAATTTTGGTACAGAAGAATAGTTATGGTTCTAAAATAAATAAAATGAACTTTCATCTTTTAAACTAACATATATGGAAATGATGATTTTGGCATTGCATTTAATAGAACTTAGGTATATAATTTCTATGAATGATAAGTAGTTAGCCCAAATTATGATTTACAAAGCAAATATTAAGAAGTGTGTATAGAGTTAAAATAAATATTGCTGCTGCTATTTGAGTAATATTGTTATAGGATTCTGGGTGATTCTCAGTTTTGAGGTGATTTCAGTTAAAATTTCAGCTTGTCTATCAAGGTAGATTTTTAAAATTAGTGGAGTTAGTTACTTCAGTTGCTCCTGGTATGGTAAATTTAATGTTCCTTATATTCTTTTCTGTTCTTTCTCGCATTTCTGTCCTAACTCCCTTTTATATTCCCAAAAAGCTGCCCCCTTTCACTTGTACCTTTTTTTTTTTTTTTAATTAAAAAGAATTTGTTTTTGAGACAGGGTCTCACTCTGTCACCCACGATGGGGTGCAGTGGTGCAATCACAATTCACTGCAGCCTCAACCTTCTGGGCTCAGATGATCCTCTCATCTCAGCCTCCCAGGTGGCTGGGACTACAGACATACACCACCACACCCAGCTAATTTTTTGTATTTTTTAGTAGAGATGGGGTTTCGCCATGTTTCCTGGGCTGGTCTCAAACTCCTGGATTCAAGTAATGCACCCACCTTGGCCTCCCAAAGTGGATTATAGGAATGCCTGACCTTTACCTCTTTTATTTTCATTTGATTTTTTTTCTTTTGTGCTGAGTCTAGGGCAAGAATAAACTGTAAATTAGTGTGAAATACATCTAATGCATTCAAATTAAAGTGTATAATCTCTGAACAGTGTAATTTTTTAAAGTGGTGTTTTTTGTTTAAAAGTAGACTTACTTGCAAAGTTATATTTTATTTTTGTGGTTTTCAGATCTTAGTATCCTAAAATTTAATATCCTAAAATTTAAGTTTTAAGTTTCCCTTAACCATCTCTACATAGATAATTGAATAACTGAAATCTTTCAAGTAATGATACACTTTACTTGTATTTGCTATTTTTTGACAAATTCTCAGGGTTAAAATAGATGCATATATACTGTTTCCTATACATTCATATGCTAAGTGGTATACTGATTATAAATAAAATGTTAAGTTTATTACAAATTGGCTTATTGTATGCTGATATCTCTGTTTTTTGATTCTGTACACTATAGGCCTATCTGAAGATTTTCATGCTAAGGATTCTAAACCTTCCTCTGACCCCCCTTGTATCATTGAGAAACTGTGTTCCTTACATGATGGCCTAGTTTTGGAAGCAAAGGGGATAAAGGAACATTTCTGGAAACCCTATATTAGGAAACTTTATGAAAAAAAGGTTTGTAAGTAGCAAAGAAATAACGTGAAAATGTTTTCTGGAGAAAAACTTGATTTAACATGACGACTTAAGGATCTCTTCTTTTATCATAGCTCCTTAAGGGAAAAGAAGAAAATCTTACTGGGTTTCTAGAACCTGGAAACTTTGGAGAGAGTTTGTGAGTACTTCTGTATAAAATGTTTTAATATTTTAAATTGTATACTTAGGAAACTTCAGAGGCTAGTGTTTTTATTGTTTGTACTCTGGAAACTGAGAATATGTTTTGTGAAAGAATACGGGGAAGCAAAAATTCTGTCACCTAATATAAGCATACTTTTTAAATGTGTTCAAAATTGTATGGCTGTTCTTTGAAGTTTCATTAAGCTTCTGGATTATAAATTTTGAAATAAATTCTTTTGGAACTATATGGGTCAAAATTGATGATGTGTAAGTGTGGAAGTCTCCAGGGGTGGCTAGAGCAGCTAGACAGTTAAGCTTCTCACCAGAAGCTGCACCTACCAGCAGCTGAAACACTGTCAGTAAAATACTTGTATTGTGAGATGGATGAGCATGGGGATAGCAAGATTACATGTGATACTATCCAGTTTTTGTTTTGTTTTTTGAGATGGAGTCTCACTGTGTCGCCCAGGCTGGAATGCAGTGGTACGATCTCAGCTCACTGCAACCTCCACCTCCTGGGTTCAAGCAATTCTTCTGCCTCAGCCTCATGAGTAGCTGTGGATACAGGCGCGTGCCACCATGCCCAGCTAATTTTTATATTTTTAGTAGATACAGGGTCTCACCATACTGGCCAGGCTGGATTCGAACTCCTGACCTTGTGATCCACCTGCCTCGGCCTCCAAAAATGCTGGGATTACAGGTGTGAGCTACTGCACCCAGCTATACTATCCAGTTTTTATAACTACAAGTTACCCTACCAAAGTTTAACTTTCAAAAAAATTATTAGAACTTTTAGTAAATAAAAAAATGAAATAATTAATTGAAATGGCAGTTCTGTGAGAGAGTACATTTTGTCTGTATTTGTTTTTCCTATAGTAAAGCCATCAATAAGGCCTATGAGGAGTATGTTTTATCTGTTGGGAATTTAGATGAGCGGATATTTCTTGGAGAGGATGCTGAAGAGGAAATTGGGACTCTCTCAAGGTGTCTGAACGCTGGTTCAGGAACAGAGACTGCTGAAAGGGTGCAGATGAAAAACATCTTACAGCAGCATTTTGACAAGGTGAGTTTAGCCACACCAGAAGAGTAGAAATACAGGAGCAGTTAAGCCAGGGGTTCTTTTTTATTTTGGTAATTTCATGTTTGTGTTTTACTTGCCTACAGTATGAAGGAGAAAATTCTCATCATGCTTCTCTTAATTGAAAAAGGTATCTCTATGATATTTGATTTGTTAATATCAACTTTCATTCATTTTACTGAGGTCTGAGAAAAAGAGAAATTAATATAAATTTAAACAAATGTGTCATGCTGATAATTGTTGGTTTTAAAAAGATGGGCCAGTAATATATAGTCTTATATGTAGTGAACACAGTAATATATAGTCTTATATGTACTACTTTTAGGCATTTAGAAAGTGATAATTGATCTGATTGGGGCCTTCATTTAAGAGACTGGAGAAACTGAGGATCTATAGTCTTTAAGAAAATTCTTTTAAACTGAATTTCAGGACCACGTGGTGTTTTTTCACACAGACATTTAGGGTGATGCAGGCCATGAGTTTCCCTTCTGCTATGTGGTGGTAACAGAAAACACTAAACTTCTGGCAAGTGCCCCCAGAGACACTGGGTAATCCAAGAGCCAATTCACCTGGAAGTAAGCTGCTTCAGACTTGAGACTGGTCTGCTTATTCATTCAACAAATATTCCTAAAGCATTTTATATGTCAGGTTGTGTCCTGGACACTGGAGATACAGCAGTGAACAAAATAGCCACGAGAACCCTGTTCTAAAGAAGCTTATATTCCAGTGTGGGGAGATGGACAGGAGATAAACAAGTAAATACATAGTATGTTGGGTGATGACAGATGAAGAAAATAAAATAGAGTAGTAATACAAAATATTGAGGGGAGGGGAGAATGGGATGGGTGGTCTGTTGTAGGTAAGGTGGTTGGTAAGGGTGTCACACACCAGAAGTAAGCGAGGAAGCAAGCCATATGAATAGCTGGGGAAATGTATTTGAAGCTGAGAGCATAACAAATGCAAAGCCGTGAGATTGGAACAGGATTAGCTTTCTGGAGGAACAGTGAGAATGACAGTGTGGTAGGAATACAGTGAGGGGAAAAAGTGGTAAGAAGTGAAGGGAGGCCAGGTGTGATGGCTCATGCTTGTAATCCTAGCACATTGGGAGACTGAGGCAGAGGACTGCTTGAGCCCAGGAGTTCAAGACAAGTCTGGGCAACAAAGCGAGACCCTGTCTCTACATAAAATATTAATACAAAAAATTAGCTGGCCATGGTTGTATCCACCTGTGGGCTCAGCTACTTGCGAGGCTGAGTCAGGAGGATCCCTTGAGCCCAGGAGTTGCAGGCTGCAGTAAGCCGTGATCGCATCACTGCACTCCAGCCTGGGTGACAGAGCAAGAGCCTGTCTTTCAAATAAAAAAAAAAGAAAAAAGAAAAAACGAGAAGAAAAAGAAGTGCAAGGAAGAGGGAAGAACAAGAGAGCCAGACAGACCATGTAAGCTTTGGAAGCCATCGTAAGAACTTTTGCTTCTGCTGTGATTGAGATGAAAGCCATTAAGAGGGTGTTATTAAGAAGAGTGACTGATTTATATTTTTAAAAGTCTTGTGGGAAAGTGGGGTTCGAGGCAAGGATGGAAGTAGGGAGTTAAGAAGCTATTGGAGTGATTATGGCAATAGTTTATGGTGGCTTCAGAGAATGGTTTGTATCTGGGCCATATTTTGGAGATAGCACCCACAGGATTTACTGATGGTTTGGATCTAGGGTTTGAGAAAAAGAGAACAGTGATGTCTCCAGTTGGGTGAATGGTATAAAAGCTAAAATCCTGACAGGTGCCTGTAAGGTCGTAAGTTATCTGGCCCTGGCTCTCTCTGAATTCATCTACTACTATCCTCCCTCCTCACCCACTAATGCCACATTAACCTCCTTTTTTGTTCTTCAGATATGCCAAGCATGCCTGCAACACAAAGCCTTTGCCTTTGCAATTCCCTCTGCCTAAAATGTATTACTTCAAGATATTCATGTGGCTTCCTTCTCACTTCATTCTGGTCTCTGATAACCTGACTGCTATGTCAATAATAACCACAACGTCCTCCCCAACTTCCTTTCCCCCGACTCTGCTTGCTAGTGTTTCTCTTCGTATTTATCACTGTCTGACAGTAAGTAGGGAGGTAGATAGAAAGAATTACTTATTGCCTGTCTCCTTGCATTAGAATATAAGCTTCACGAAGGCTGTGACCAATGTTGTATGCAGCGCTTGGCACATAGTAGACATTCCGGGAACATTTACTACTGAAATTTATTAAGAGGGAAGAGCAAGTCTGGGGGAAGGGGAATCGAGTTAGGGTTATTAGTATGTTAAATTTGAGATGTCTTTTAAGCATCCTAGTAGAGAAGTTGAATAGACAGTTGAGGAATAGAAGACCGGAGTTCACAGTTCACAGTAGAGGTTAGGGGTTGTGTATATATGTCCTGGGGTCATCAAGATGGCTTTTTTTTTTTTTTTTTTTTTTAGACAGAATCTCACTCTGTCACCCAGGCTGGAGTGCAATGGTGCAATCTCAGCTCACTGTGACCTCTGCTACCCAGGTTCAAGCTATTCTCCTGCCCCAGCCTCTTGAGTAGCTGGGATTACAGGCGCCTGCCACCACGCCCGGCTAATTTTTTGTATTTTTAGTAGAAACGGCATTTCACCATGTTGGTCAGCTGGTCTTGAACTCCTGACCTCATGATCTGCCTGCCTCGGCCTCCCAAAGTGCTGGGATTACAGGCATGAGCCACTGCGCCCAGCTGTAGATGGCTTTTAAAGCTCTAAAATGAGGAGAGATTTCTTAGAGGTATGAAATAAGAGAGAATAAAAGAGGACTAAGGGCAAAGCTCAGAGTCACTCCAAATTTTGTAAGTCTTTATTTGGAGAAGGAACATCCTAATATTTTTAAGATACCGACTTAATATTTGCACCCAAGTTAAAGAAAGATTCCTCTTGATCAGAATGAACAGGAAGCTCTAAGCTAAGCACAGTGCTATCAAGAAACACCATGTTGACCTTGAGGACTCTGGCAGGAAGCTGTTTGTGGTTGTCACACCTAGTTTCCTCTGTGAAACTATTGCTGCCTGTGGGTGATGTGGTTATATGCTGCTGGCTGCTGTTGATTCTCCTGTTCGTGTACAAGGTGTTTTTCCCTCTCAATGCCTCCCAGTGTAGGCATTGGTTCATGCACAGTGAAGTAGGTGACTGCAAGAAACCTTGTAAGGCAGGGAGCAGCCTTTTGAATGCAATTAATCCACCCAGATCATTTTATTGATTTAATTATAGAATGAATTTCTTTGAAACAAAGTGGAAGTCTTAGTTGTATTGCACTTTAAGACAGAGAAAACATGTAGGTTTGTTTCTATATATAGTAAATTTCTGTGCTTTTCTGTATCTTAGGAAACTTGAATAGTTGGCTCTGTTGCCAGGTGAAAATTTTGCTAGGTTTTTTAAAAAATTAGAATAAGTACATTTAATACACAGGGAAATTTGGTTTATCTTGAATATTAAAAGACACTGTTAAGTTATCTTAACCTTTCAGAGTTTATTTGAAAAATCAGAAAGATGTTTTACTAGCTCCTTTGACACCAAGTCACATCTTTTCCATATTTATTGTCAAGAATGTTGACTTTAACTTGTTTCTCTGAAGACCTGTCTACTTTAATGGGAAAACCTGTGATAGATTCTGGTAACCAAAGGTAGAGGAGGGCTAGGAAGACCAATGAAGGCTGTTCTGCATCAAGTTGCCTTTTTAGGGAATGTTCATTTTATTCTCTCTCTCTGAAGCAAATTTGAATATTTGGATAGTGGGTGTATTAGTTCATTTTAATGCTGCTGATAAAAACATACCTGAAAGTGGGAACAAAAAGGGGTTTAATTGGACTTACAGTTCCACATGGCTGGGGAGTTCTCAGAATCATGGTGCGAGGCGAGAGGCACTTCTTAACATGGCGGTGGCAAGAGAAAAATGAGGAAGAAGCAAAAGCGGAAACCCCTCATAAGCCCATCAGATCTCGTGGGACGTATTCACTATCACAAGAATAGAACGGGAAAGACTGGCCTCCATGATTCATTTACCTCCCACTGGGTGCCTCACACGATATATGGAAATTCTGGGAAATACAGTTCAAGTTGAGGTTTTGATGCAGACATAGTCAAACTATATCAGTAGGCTTTTCTTAAATGGATTTTTTTCAACCAAATTTAATTCACAATTTTCTTTTATCTTTGAGTGTCTGCAAAAATAGCGGTAGATGGGAATTGTGAAATTCTGTTTCTCAGAGCTGAGAATAATCTTAATTTTTTCAGGTGAGCAGAATGCTTATCTTTGCCTCTGAGCATACATTTTACAAGAGGGAATGTAGGGAGCTATACCTTATTTTAGAGTTGTAACTTTTTTGAGACGGAGTTTTGCTCTGTCGCCCAGGCTGGAGTGCAGTGGCGCGATCTCAGCTCACTGCAAGCTCCACCTCCCTGGGTTCATGCCATTCCCCTGCCTCAGCCTCCCAAGTAACTGGGACTATAGGCGCCCACCACCTCGCCCAGCTAGTTTTTTGTATTTTTTAGTAGAGACAGGGTTTCACCGGGTTAGCCAGGATGGTCTCGATCTCCTTACCTCGTGATCCGCCCGGCTTGGCCTTCCAAAGTGCTGGGATTACAGGCTTGAGCCACCGTGCCCGGCCTAGAGTTTTAACTTTTAAGAGACAAACTTTTAGTTAGCTAAAATACAAATTATTCTTTCAAGCCTTCATCTTCACATGGATATTGGCAGCTCTTAATGCTGTTACGTTTAAATTCCAAGAATGGTGACATTTGAGTCAGTAAAATGTATTGATATTGTAAAGATAAAGTTTTACTCGCTTGAAGTCCCATTTATGAAGTGAATTAAAGTCTTTCTGGCCTAAAATAATGTTCTTTTAAAAATTTTTATTCTATGTAACTGTTTTTTTCTCTAGTCCAAAGCACTTAGAATCTCCACACCCCTAACTGGTGTTAGGTACATTAAGGAGAACAGCCCTTGTGTGACCCCAGTTTCTACAGCTACGCATAGCTTGAGTCGTCTTCACACCATGCTGACAGGCCTCAGGAATGCACCAAGTGAGAAATTGGAACAGATTCTCAGGTTAGTTTGAGCCCTGTCTGCTTGCTAAGATTTGGTTATTGACCATTTTCCAGTTTCCTATTTTTTCATTATTAATGCCTTAATTCACCCATGAATAATTTTATATCAATTGTATACTGAGTCCTGTTGTGAGTCTGTAGAGGACCTAGCAATAAGATGTATAAGTGGAAGATCTTCTTTCCTCAGATTTTTTTAATATAATATAAGACACAGTAACTGATAACACCAGACACTGTAGAATAAAGCACAGAACTGTCTTTGCCAACTGTTCTTTCAAGATTTCAGGGAGTGGTGGGGTGGGGGCAGAGGGAAGCTCAGTGAAGATGGGAATTGTCAAAGGCCTTTGTGAAGAGGGTTGAACCTGAGGTAAGTTCTGAAGGGTGACTCAGATTTGAAAAGATTAATGGAGTTCCACATGTTCATAAAGCAGGACAAAAACCACTGTAACTTTTGTAAACTCTATAAAACATCCTTATCCTGGAAAGGAAGTTCACTGCATTTAGTTTCTTTGATCTCCCTGAGACTGGTAGGAATATCACTGAGTTTTAGTTAAAAGCCCAGTAGGCTGAATCTCATCATCTTACGCATAACCTTTGGCAAGCTGATTTGAAAAGTTACCTCCACCCCGTCTCTACTAAAAAACACAAAAAAAAAAAAACTAGCCAGGCGAGGTGGCGGGCGCCTGTAGTCCCAGCTACTCGAATGGCGTAAACCCGGGAGGCGGAGCTTGCAGTGAGCCGAGATCGCGCCGCTGCACTCCAGCCTGGGTGACAGAGCGAGACTCCGTCTCAAAAAAAAAAAAGAAAAGAAAAGAAAAGTTACCTCCAAGGTCTCTCTCAGTCCTAAAACCTTATGATATGATGACGTAGACCCAAAAGGACCCCATTTTATTTCTGATGGTGGTATATCAAGAAGACCCTATATGTACACATAAGTAATTTCCCACTCATAGCCAGGCTTCTTAAATGCCAACTACTTTTCCTTTACATTTTTGTGAAGTCTACTTTATTCATAAACTTGATTGTGATTTATGCTTAACAAGTTATATCTCTGTGGCCTCTTCCTGAGTCATGTTTTTCAGATGCACCTTGTTTGCCTTGAATTTAGAAGCATTTTGTAAATACATTTCAGAAGCCATCTTAATCTCTGTATCTTCCAGATCTCTTTACAGTTTCTAACTAGGCATAACAGCATTTTAAATCTTAGGTACCATTAGTGGGGTTAAATATTACCAGTAAATACTAGGTAAAATAAAGGGTCCTGTTTTTGTAGAAAGGTATGTGTGTGTGTGTTCCCAGAAAACTTCTGCTTATATATGTATTCAATAGTTATCTCTAGCAGGACTATAATTGATTTTATTCTCCTTATAATTTTTTAAACTTCATTTTCACAAAGAATATGTATATAATTATATATATATGATCAAGATAAAAACAGTTGTTACAAAAACTTACATGGTGATAATTTGTATAATGCTTCTGCATTGAACGTATATTCCTTTCTAATAATAAAAAGACTGAAATAAACCTCATTTGTGGGGAAAAATGTAGAATGCCAGGAACAATTTATATGAGTCTGTAGTATGGGTTTTACACTCCTTCATTCTATTTTCTTCCAGGTGTTCTTAATGGGAGTTGTACTGCCCTTTACGGAAGTAGTTAAGGGCAATTCTGGATCATCAGTGACTGGGGGATGTGAAGGACAGGTGGGGGACAGTGATAGACATCGAATGAGCCCAGGCCAAGGTTGCTAAACTTCCTGCAGTGAAAGGTGTAGCCCCGGCCGGGCAAGGTGGCTCATTCCTGTAATCCTAACACTTTGGGAGGCTGAGGCGGTTGGATCACTTGAGGCCAGGAGTTCGAGACCAGCCTGGCCAACATGGCCATCTCTACTAAAAATACAAAAATTAGCTGGGCGTGGTGGCAGGTGCCTGCAGTCCGAGCTACTTGGAGGCTGAGGCAGGAGAATCACTTGAACCTGGGAGGTGGAGGTTGCAGTGAGCCAAGATTGCACCACTGCATTCCATCCTGGATGACAGAGTGAGACTCTGTCTCAAAAAATAAATAAATATATAAAATAAAAGGTGTAGCCCCACACAAGAAAAGTTTTTTTTTTTTTTCCATTCCAACTGGTAATACCACCACCTTTGAAAAGGAAGTATAGGATCTCTTGGATTAATTTGGGAAGTGTATAGTTCCTGTTCAGAGTGTTTTATATGTACATGTTAGTGAAATTATAGAAACATTTTATCCCCTTGTGACTTGCCAGGACCTTTAAATTATGTTATTTCTCATTACCTTTTTAGGACATGTTCCAGAGATCCAACCCAGGCTATTGCTAACAGACTGAAAGAAATGTTTGAAATATATTCTCAGCACTTCCAGCCAGATGAGGATTTCAGTAATTGTGCTAAAGGTAAGGTTTAATATTGTTATTCTGCTCTTATGTTTGAAGTTTAACTAAATGGAGTCATTTCTTACTAACTAAGAAAGATGAGGAAAAGATTTATGACTTTAGACTGAGGGCTAGGATATGGCTATCCAATTTTTCTGGTCAACCAAGTGATTTCTGAGCCCTTCTCAGTAAGATAGAAATTTTAGAGTGGTATTTTTATTTTAATGGACTTCTGATGCTTTTTTATCTGCAAATCTTTAGTTTTTTGTTTTTTGTTTTTGTAAACTGGAAATGAAATAGAAGCGTAGTGATTCTTAACATATTGAGAATAAGGACAGAAGATATCACTGTTATGGGCCCTGGCCTAGGAATTGTTTGATGTCAGGAATTGGAACTAAGTAGGTGTGGAATAGTAAGCCAGTTACATACCTCTTAGCGTGGGTTTGTTTTGTTCAACCATAGAGGGGATAAAAGGGTGTAAGTCTTAAATAATATTATAGTTCTTTATGTGCAAATTCATTTAATAATTTTAGAAAATGTGACTGTTACCATGAAGAAAATTAAGGTATCTTAGGGATAATTAAAACACCAGTCATAAGAAGTTTGCATATCTAAAGTTTTGGGTTGGTTTTTAAATTTTATTTTGTGAGTAAAGAAGGAGGAATGGGCCTTTATTTTCTTTGTGTGCCATTTTTGTGGATTTTTTTATTATTTCTACAGAAATTGCCAGCAAACATTTTCGTTTTGCGGAGATGCTTTACTATAAAGTATTAGAATCTGTTATTGAGCAGGAACAAAAAAGACTAGGAGACATGGATTTATCTGTGAGTAAAATAACCAATGTATTGATCAGCGCAGTAAAACATAATTTCCTTCCTGCCCCATTCTGTAGGTTGTTTTTTTACTTTATTTATAGTCTCCTTTCATGCACAAAAGTTTTTAATTTTGATGAAATCCAATTTATTTTTTCACTAGTTGCCTGTGCTTTTTTTTAATGTGTGTATGTATGTATGTATGTATGTATGTATTATTTGAGATGGAGTCTTGCACTGTTGCCCAGGCTTGAGTATAATGGCACGATCTCGGCTCAATGCAACCTCCGCCTCCTGGGTTCAAGCAATTCTCCTGCCTCAGTCTCCCAAGTAGCTGGGATTATAGGCACGTGCCACCATGCCCAGCTAAGTTTTGTATTTTCAGTAGAGATGGGGTTTTACCATGTTTGGCCAGGCAGGTCTGGAACCCCAGACGTCAGGTGGTCTGTGCGCCTTGGCCTCCCAAAGTGCTAGGATTACAGGCGTGAGCCACTGCGCCTGGCCTGTTACTTGTGCTTTTGGTGCCTCAGTAGCTTTTAATTAAAAAATAATAATTGTTTACAATGTTGGAAAATTATAAGCAAAAAGAAGAAAATAAAAATCACCTATGATTAATGTCATCCTGTGATAAACATACTGACTTTTGGTACATGGTCATCTAGCCAGTCACCTGCCTGCTTGCTTTTCTGTTTTTTTGGGTTTGTTGTTGAGACAGAGTCTCACTCTGTTGCCCAGGCTAGAGTGTAGTGGTACAATCTTGGCTCACTGCAACCTCTGCCTCCCAGATTCAAGCGATTCTTGAACAGTATTGCCCAGGCTGGTCTCAAACTCTGGACCTCAAGTGATCTGCCCGCCTTGGCCTCCCAAAGTGCTGGGATTATAGGTATGAGCCACCCGCCTGGCCCCTTTCAATTTTTTTTTTTTCTTTTTTTTCTCTCTTTTTTTTTTTTGAGCCAGAGTTTCGCTCTTGTTGCCCAGGCTGGAGTGCAGTGGCGCAGTGTTGGCTCACTGCAGCCTCTACCTCCTGGGTTCAAGTGCTTCTCCTGCCTCAGCCTCTGAGTAGCTGGGACTACAGGTGTGTGCCACCACACCTGGCTAATCTTCTATTTTTAGTAGAGATGGGGTTTCACCATGTTGGTCAGGCTGGTCTCGAACTCCTGACCTCAGGTGATCTGCCCACCTTGGCCTCCCAAAGTGCTAGCATTACAGGCATAAGCCACCGCGCCTGGCCCCCCTTTCAGTTTTTTATAGCACTGACTGTAAATACTGTTTTGAAACATCTTTCTCTGTCATTGTTCTTCTAAGCATCAGGGTGTGTGTGTATTTTGGTTAGAGATGTAATCTCTTTTAAGATATAATAGGTAAGGTTTTAAAAGTCTCATACATTCCTTTAATATATTTCCTCTACTAAAAAATGGGCTTTATTTATATAATTAAGAAAGGTTTTGTAAGAAAATAAGCATACACTTTGCACTCAGTCAGAAAATGGGACTTTCTTTGGTATTTTCACTTAAATTCACTGGGTATGAAATGACTTTTTAGATTAAGTAAATGTTTCTGAATGCTAATAACTGTATTTTATAGGGTATTCTGGAACAAGATGCCTTCCACAGATCTCTGTTGGCCTGCTGCCTTGAGGTCGTCACTTTTTCTTACAAGCCTCCTGGGAATTTTCCATTTATTACTGAAATATTTGAAGTGCCTCTTTATCATTTTTATAAGGTATTTTTAAAAATATGATATAATGTGGATATTGTAGATGAGACCAACTTCCTGTTGTTAGTCATTTAGTTCAAGTTAACATCTAAGTATATTTATTCTGTTTTTAATTACATAATTAATCACTATTTGTGGAGTAGAAAAGAAATAGAATCTTACGACCTATGTAAATTTTTTAATATTGTATGAAAGATCCATTTTGGGTAAAAGCTTTGATTCCTCTCTTTATGTAATAACAGTTTTTAGAATACTGTGATTTTTATGAGATGAGAAAGCTTAAAAAAGTAGCACACATGTCACTAGCTAATCTTGTATAGCAGCCTTTTTTTATTTTATGAAAATTAAATACCACTGTAAATGTCAGAAAAAAATGAAAGTTCTCTTTCATGTGTTACAGAGAGGCATAGAGTTAAAGCATTGATTTGGTAGCTATTTCTTGATACTGAGTTAGCATATGAGTTTATCTTAACTCTCATAAGATAGTCAAAACTAATTTTTATAGTGGCATAGATTAAATGTTTAGAGATTTTTATATGAAATTTTAAGAGTAATGTTTTTCAACCTCAATATACATGTATTTTCATTAAAAACTTTTGAAATACATCACAATGTAAACCATTTTATATAATTCACATGGTTTGAACTATAATTATTTACAAAGACAGTAAAAGGAAGAGCAGCTGTTTCAAAATATTTCAACTTGTAATTTTTGACTAATTTCTTGTCTAAATATTTTAAAATATTTAATAATTATTATTCAGTGAATCAGGACATTTTTTATTTCAGGTGATAGAAGTATTCATTAGAGCAGAAGATGGCCTTTGTAGAGAGGTGGTAAAACACCTTAATCAGATTGAAGAACAGATCTTAGATCATTTGGCATGGAAACCAGAGTCTCCACTCTGGGAAAAAATTAGAGACAATGAAAACAGAGTTCCTACATGTGAAGAGGTTTGTGAAAATAACATCTTTTTATGAGAAAAAATACATCAATATCTAATCTATTAATAATCCTTTTGGGGATGGGAGGGTGGCAATTGGGTTTAATATGTTGTAATTAATTACACCTTGTTATGAGAAAAACTTGGGACTGTAACGTCGTCCCTCTCTACCCGCAAATTAGGAAGGTGCCAAGAGACAAAGAATGACTCAGACAAGTCCAGCTTGGCAAGTAGATATGTTTATTAAGACTTAGATATGTAGGGGCTGGGCGCGGTGGCTCATGCCTGTAATCCCAGCACTTCGGGAGGCGGAGACCGGTGGATCACCTGAGGTTGGGAGTTTGAGACCAGCCTAACCAACATGGAGAAACCCCATCTCTATAAAAATACAAAAAATTAACCAGGCATGGTGATGCATGCCTGTAATCCCAGCTACTTGGGAGGATGAGGCGGAAGAATTGCTTGAACCCGGGAGGTGGAGGTTGCGGTGAGCCGAGACTGTGCCATTGCACTTCAGTCTGGGCAACAAAAGCGAGACTCCGTCCCCCCAAAAAAAAAAGAGACTTACATATGGAGGAGGCAGAGGTGGTGGGGAAAAATAAAAGACTTATATACAGGGTACTCCTAGGTAGCAGCAGGACAGCTCTAGAGATCCTCACCACCTCCCATTGCTAAGCTGCTAATTTTCTGGCTCTTTGCCTACTATGTGTGTGCACGATGGGACTGTTTTCCTTGGTAGTTTCTCAGATCCTCTCTGGGATGTTTGGGTTATCAGGGACACCTGCTCCTTGGCTGGGCACCATGGCCTTGGCTCACTACCCAGCCTTCAGGGTTTAGGCAGCAGACATACACCCTTAAGTAAGGTAAGTGACCTGTCATACTTCACCCCATGTCAAAGAGGAAATGAGTCAGATAATTTGTAGTTGTCCTAAGATTTTGGTGACAGAGTAAAAATTCAGTGTTCATTCTTGATTTCCTTATCAAGTTTCTCTCCCATAGAGCAGTGGTCCAACCTTTTTGGCACCAAGGACCAATTTCATGGAAGACAATTTTTCCATGGACAGGGTTGGGAGTGGGGGAGATTTTGGGATGATTCAAATGCCTTACATTTATTGCACACTTTATTTCTATTATTATTACGTGGTAATATATAATGAAATAATTACATAATTCACCAAAATATACAGTCAGTGGGAGCCCTGAGCTTGTCTTCCTACAACTAGATGGTCCCATCTGGAGGTGGTGGGAGACAGTGACAGATGAGCAGGCATTAGATTCTCATAAGGAGCATGCAACCTAGATCCCTTACGTGTGCAGTTCACAATAGGGTTCACACTCCTATGAGAATCTAATGCCACCACTAATCTGACAGGCGGCCAGCACAGGTAGCAATGTGAGTGATGGGGAGCAGCTATAAATACAGATGAAGCTTTGCTCGCTTGCTTACTTGCCTGCCGCTCACTTCCTGCTATGTTGCCCGGTTCCTAACAGGGTCCACGGCCCAGGGGTTGGGGACCCCTGCTTTAGAGTGATTGATATTCAAACTCTCCAAACCAATAATGAAGGTTGACTCATATTTAGTATCCAATTACAAGGTTTTGCATTTTTTGACTGACAAAAGTTTTTTTTTTAACTTTATTATGAAAATGGGAAAGACAGCTGATTTTATTTAGATGGAATAATCGTTAAGAGACTTTTTCCGCCTTAGATTACTATTGGATTTCTAATTAAAGTGCTGTTTTGGATCCTGGCATTCTGTGTAACCAATTCTTCACAGGTCATGCCACCTCAGAACCTGGAAAGGGCAGATGAAATTTGCATTGCGGGCTCCCCTTTGACTCCCAGAAGGGTGACTGAAGTTCGTGCTGATACTGGAGGTCTTGGAAGGAGTAAGTTTAAAATACTAGGGGAATATTTTGGGGCTTACTATCTGGAAATTTAAATTTTATTTAACCCTATAAGTGAAGTTAATAGAGTATATATTAGAAGAAAATATTCCATGCATTTTTGTGTCACATGAATCACTTAAAAGAAGGGCCTTTAAAGACTATTTAAGAACACAGGAAAATGCATGATATAACAGGTATCTTTTAAAAAGGATAGACGAGGGCCGGGCGCGGTGGCTCAAGCCTGTAATCCCAGCACTTTGGGAGGCCGAGACGGGTGGATCACCAGGTCAGGAGATCGAGACCATCCTGGCTAATCCGGTGAAACCCCGTCTCTACTAAAAAAAATACAAAAAACTAGCCCGGCGAGGTGGCGGACGCCTGTAGTCCCAGCTACTCGGGAGGCTGAGGCAGGAGAATGGCGTAAACCCGGGGGGCGGAGCTTGCAGTAAGCTGAGATCCGGCCGCTGCACTCCAGCCCGGGTGACAGAGCGAGACTCCGTCTCAAAAAAAAAAAAAAAGGATAGACGATAGACTGCTATATTTATTTAATTTTTTTTTTTTCTTTTGAGACAGAGTCTCGCTCTGTTGCTCAAGCTAGAGTGCAGCAGCCCAATCTCAGCTCACTGCAACCTCTGCCTGCCGGGTTCAAGCAATTCTCATGCCTCACCCTCCTGAGTAGATGGGACTACAGGCATGCGCCACCACGCCTAGCTAATTTTTTGTATTTTTGTAGAGACGTTTTGCCATATTGGCCAGGCTGGCCTCGAACTCCTGACTTGAAGCAATCCACCTGCCTCGGCCTCCCAAAGTGCTAGAATTACAGGCATGAGGCACCGTGCCTGGCCGACTGCTATATATTTAATATGATCCCTATTTTTAAAGTGTATGTTTATTTATGAGCATGCAAAATGGTGGAAATGGAAAAACCAAACTGTTAAGATCATTGTTGGGTGATAGAATTCCTGGTGATTTCTGTAAAATTTTTAAGGCAAATACGTATTACTTTTAAAATCAGGAGAAATAGAAAAGCCTTCTTAAAGATAGAGCTGCATGATCCAGTTAGGTATAGACAAGGCAGTGAGTTAAGACAACTGAGTGTGTTCTACTGTGTTGAGCTGTGCTACCCTAGTTAATGACATTAGTGCTGGCCCAAGAAATACAGAAAAGGGCAGTTTTGCTATCCATCTGGTTTATATTTTTTAGGCAGCTGCTTAGAAGATCTGCAAGGTGAAAGGTTTTAGTTTACATATGTGAGAGAGAACTGCTTTTTAAAGAGCAATTCAGTAAATCCAGAGAGTTCTAAATCCTTGGATCCAATTCAAAGAATATCCTTATTTCTAGATCACTTTTATAATGTAATTGGTAAGAACTGGCTACAGAAGAAATACGAGTTTTAAAGTCAGGAATCACTCTAGGCTGGGCATGGTGGCTCATGCCTGTAACCCCTGCACTGTGGGACACCTAGTCGGGAGGATCGCTTGAGCCCAGGAGTTCAAGACCATCCTGGGCAACATAGCAAGATGCCATCTCTACCCCCCCCCCCAAAAAAAACAAAAATCACTCTAGGTCAGTGTATACTTAATAGACATGGATGATCCTTATGAAAAGTCCTTATTTTTGAAAGATCTGACAGTTGGTCTTTCTTAGTCTATTTTTGTAGAATTTTCCCTTCCCTAATCTACAGATTAGGAAGACTTGACTTTAAACTTCATTTTCTTTGTACTTATCACTTCTCAGTTTTCCTGAGATCTCTTGATATTTTACAAGAAAAAATGATCATAATGTATTCTTTCTGATTCTGCAGCGTTGTATCAAATACAAATCTAGTAAGTTTATTTACTTTTGTATCATCTGGAAATTGAAATGTTAAGCCACAGTTTATTAGTATTTACTCCTATCAATACTTCTTACAAACTTCCTACATATGTTTTAAAATTTAAAAACACACTGATGCACAGCTCTTAGAGGTGGACACAGAAGAAGGAAGAAATGCTTCTCAAAAATTCATACATTATTGTGAATACTTAAAAATAGACTAAGCCTTAATAGGTTGTTCAGATAATGAAGAAGTTTTACAAACAGTGGTGATTGTTGTGGCCACATTGTAAATGTAATTGATACCACTGAATCATACACTTAATCGTACCACTGAATCGTATACTTAAAAATGGATGAAATGGTAAATTTTGTTACATAAATATATATACAAATATATATACTTATAAATATATATAAATATATATACAAATATATATTTATATATAAATATATACAAATATATATAAATATACAAATATATATTTATATATAAATATATAAAGATATATAAATACATATATAAATATATATTAATATATAAAAAAATACATATTTATATATATATTTTTTAAACCCACAATTTTAAAAAACTAGCCTGTAATACCAGCACTTTGGGAGGCCAAGGCGGGTGGATCACCTGAGGTCAGGAGTTTGAGACCAGCCTGGCCAACATGGTGAAACCCCATCTCTACTAAAAATACAAAAATTAGCCATGCCTGGTGGCATATGCCTCTAATCCCAGTTACTCAGGAGGCTGAGGCACAAGAATCACTTTAACCCAGGAGGCAGAGGTTGTATTGAGCCAAGATCAGGCCACTGCACTCCAGCCGGGGTGATAGAGTAAGACTCTATGTCTCAAAAAATAAAAAAAAAACCAGTTTACCCCAAACCATTGAATTGTACAATTTAAGTGGATGAAATTTATGGTATATAAACTGTTTTAAAAAAATAAATTATGCTTAATTGAATCCAAATCATGCATGTCTACCTTGCTTAAGAACATTATTGAGTTTTAATAGTTTTTATATGTGGAAAAAGACGAAGATCAAAATTGATAAAACTGGTGGCGGAATGCTCCTAGATGACATACTACCAATCATGTCCCCTTAAGAAGTAGTGGCTCTATAGTAAAATCACATCTTACGTGAGTGGTAGGTGGAAACTAAATATGGCAGAAAATATTATAGAAAAATGTAGTACGGAAAAAAAGGGTAATTCCTTAAATCATGAAGGTTCTTCAGTAGTGGAAGACAGAGTCGGGTCTGATTTGGGAAAGGGGGAGTGGAGAAAGGAACACTGCAAGACAAAAAATTCCATTTTAAAATTTGCTCTCAGTTGTGTTCACTGAACACTAATGAAAACTCACTAATGGATATAGGTAAGATGACTTCTGTAATTCTTGTTTGCTTTTTGAATTATGAAGTATTTCAAACACTGTAGTTATTTTTGAACATAACAGCTTGGATGAAAGTCAGATCTGAGTCTCCTTCAGTGAAATGCTTTGTTTGATTTGTTTTGAACCTAGGCATAACATCTCCAACCACATTATACGATAGATACAGCTCCCCACCAGCCAGCACTACCAGAAGGCGGCTATTTGTTGAGAATGATAGCCCCTCTGATGGAGGGACACCTGGGCGCATGCCCCCACAGCCTCTAGTCAATGCCGTCCCTGTGCAGAATGTATCTGGGGAGCCTGTTTCTGTCACACCGGTTCCTGGACAGACTTTGGTCACCATGGCAACCGCCACTGTCACAGCCAACAATGGGCAAACAGTAACCATTCCTGTGCAAGGTAAGGAAGGCAGAGTTGGATATTGAGTTCCTTCTCTGTGGCGTGTATTGAAAAGTTACCCGAGGTTTGGCTAGAGTGACGTAGGGGACAGAGGAGTGATGGGGAGAGAGGGTTTGGGAGAGGAGAAATTGTAAACCTCTGCCTGGAGAACCTCTTATTATCAACATTTTCTTCATGCCTTTTTTCTCTGTCACAAACTAGGTATTGCCAATGAAAATGGAGGGATAACATTCTTCCCTGTCCAAGTCAATGTTGGGGGGCAGGCACAAGCTGTGACAGGCTCCATCCAGCCCCTCAGTGCTCAGGCCCTGGCTGGAAGTCTGAGCTCTCAACAGATGACAGGAACAACTTTGCAAGTCCCTGGTCAAGTGGCCATTCAACAGATTTCCCCAGGTGGCCAACAGCAGAAGCAAGGCCAGTCTATAACCAGCAGTAGTAATAGACCCAGGAAAACCAGCTCTTTATCACTTTTCTTTAGAAAGGTAATTTTTCACGTACTCTTACCAGAGCATGAGCTTGGGAAATACAAGTGTTAAACAAAGTTTGAAATGTTTTTGTTTATCTCTTAGGTATACCATTTAGCAGCTGTCCGCCTTCGGGATCTCTGTGCCAAACTAGATATTTCAGATGAACTGAGGAAAAAAATCTGGACCTGCTTTGAATTCTCCATAATTCAGTGTCCTGAACTTATGATGGACAGACATCTGGACCAGTTATTAATGTGTGCCATTTATGTGATGGCAAAGGTGAGTACCATTTTGGAACTGTAAAGGCAAATATAGGTCTTCATTACTGAAAACATTTTTTAACCGCTTTCTTGAAGTACAATTTACATGCTCTATAATTCATCTATTTAAAATGCACAACTAAAAGGGTCTTAGTATATTCACAGATATGTGCAATACTCACCACAATTTTAAAACAGAATATTCCATTATATAGTTATATGAGAGTATTTTTATCCATTTATTAGGTAATACATATTTTAGTTGTTTCTGCTTTTGGCTATATGCATAATACTGCTATTAGCATTTGTGTTTGGGTTTTTGTATAGACATATATTTTCATTTCTCTAGGGTATATACCTAGTAATGGATTGCTGGGTCATACATTAACTATGTTTTAACCAGTTAGGGAATTGCCAGACTGTTTTCCAAAGTACTGTACCATTTTACACTTACACAGGCAGTATAATAAAGATTTTAGTTTCTCCACTTTCTCATTAACACTTATTATCTTACTTTGTTTAAATAACTTATTGAGGAGAAATTCACATAACAAAATTAACTGGGGTTTTTTTGGGTTTTTTTGTTTGTTTGCTTTTTGAGATATTGTTTCACTCTTGTCACCCAGGCTGGAGTGCAGTGGTGCATCTCAGCTCACTGCAACCTCTGTCTCCCAGGTTCAAGCGATTCTCCTGTCGTAGCCTCCTGAGTAGCTGGGATTACAGCCATGTGCCACCACGCCTGGCTAATTTTTGTATTTTTAGTAGAGATGGGATTTCACCATGTTGGCCAGGCAGGTCTCAAACTCCTGACCTCAGGTGATCCGCCCGCCTCGGCCTCCCAAAGTGCTGGGATTACAGGCATGAGCCACCAGGCCCAGCCAGATTAACTATTTTAAATTGAACAATTCAGGAGCATTTAGCACATTTACAGTACCAAGTGTAATCAATGGTTGTATACTCACCACTTCTATCTAGTTCCAGAACATTTCTGTACCTGCAAAGTAAAACTCCTTTCCTGTTAAGTAGTTTCTCCCCATTCTACCTCCCACAGCACCTGGCAATCAGCAATTGGCATTCTGGCTGTATGGATTTATCTGTTCTTAATCGTTTATAGAAATGGTACAATAAGTGACCTCTTGTGTATGGCTTCTTTTACTTAGGATAATATTTTCAAGGTTTATCTATGTTGCAGCATGTATCAGTACTTCATTCCTTTTTATGACTGAATGATATTCCATTGTATGGATAGGCACAATTTTTTTCTCCATTCATACAGTGATGGATATTTGGGCTGTTTCCACCTGTTGGCTATAGTGAATAGCGCTGTTTTGAACAGGTATATCATGTACCTGTTTGAGTGCCTGTTTTCAGCCCTTTTGAGTTTACTACTAGCAGTGGAACTGCAGGGTCATATGGTGATACTATGTTTAACTTTTTTGAGGAATCCACCATACTGTTTTCCACAGAAGCAGCACCATTTGACATTGCTACCAGTAATGCACAAGCGTTCCAGTTTCTCCGTATCCTTGCCAACTTATTTTTATTATAGCCATCTTAGCAGGTATTGGGTGGTATATCATTGTGGTTTTGATTTTCATTTGCCTGATGACTTAAGGATGTCAAGCATCTTTTCATTTGCTTACTGGCCATTTGTATATCTTATGTGGAGAAATATCTTTAAATCCTTTGCCCATTTTTAAATTGTGTTACTATTGAGTTGTTGGAGTTCTTTGTTTTGGATACAACTACCTTCTCAGACATATGATTTGCAAATATTTTCTCCCATTTGGTGTATCTTTTCACTTACTCGGTAGTGTCATTTGAAGCATAAAAGTTTTTAATTTCGATGAAGTCCAGTTACCTGTTTTTTGGTTTGTTACTCGCACTTTGGGTGTCCTAAGAATCCATTGCCAAATCCAAGGTCACTAAGATTTATCCCTGTGTTTTCTTCTGATTTTTATAGTTTTATCTCATAGTTAGGTATTTGATCAAATTTGAGTAATCTGTGTATGGTATGAGGTAGTAGTCCATTTCCATTCTGATTATGTGGCTGTGCAGTTATCTCAGCACCATTGAAAAGAAGATTTTTTTCCTCACTGAATGGCCTTGGTGGCCTCCTTGAAAATTAGTTGACCGTTGACAATATGTGGGTTTATTTCTGGACTCTAAATTCTATTCCATTGGACTATATGTCTATCCTTAGGCAATACCATATTCTCTAGATTAGAGAGTTGCTTTCTTATAAAGTTTTGAAATTGGGAAATATGAGTGCTCCTACTTTTTTTCTTTTCAAGATTATTTCAAGAGTCCCTTGAATGAATTTTAGAATCAGATTATCAGTTTCACAAAGGAATAAGCTAGGATTCTGATAGAGTTGCACTGAATCTGTAGATCAATTTGGGGAGTATTGCCATCTTAACAATTTTATGTCTTCTGATCCATGAACATAGAATGTTTTTCCATTTATTTAGATCTTCAGTATTTTTCAACAATGTTTTGTACTTTTCAGAGTATGTTTGCAATTCTTTTGTTAAATTTATTCCTAGTCTTATTGATGCTATTCCAAATGTAGTTGTTTCATTGTTAACGTGTTCATTGCAAGTGCATAGAAAAACATTTTTGTATATTGATCTAGTATCCAGCAGCCTTGCTGAACTTATTAGTTCTAATAGTTTTCTAGTAGATACCTTAGGATTACTATGTAGGAAATCATGGAATTTGCTTATAATTTTACTTCTTATCCAAACTGGATGCCTTTTATTTCTTTTTCTTTCCTAATTATCTTGCTACAACCTCCAGTACAGTTGAACAGAAGTGTCGAAAGCAGAAATCCTTGTCTTGATCTTAGGTGGAAAGCATCTAGCTTTTCACTATTAAATTATGATTTTTTCCATAGTTGCCCTTTATCAAGTTGAGGAAGTTCCCTTCTTTTCCCAGTTCATGGAGTGTTTTTTATCATGAAAGGGCATTAGATTTTGTCAAATGCTTTTTTTGTGTCCATTGAGATGATCGTGTGTTTATTGTTTTTTTTTATTCTATCAATATAGTATATTACACTGATTAATCTTCCTATGTTAAACCAGCCTTACATTTTTGTTGTAAATCCCTCTCAGTCATGGTGTATAATTCTTATTTTTTTCTTTTTTTGAGACAGTGTCTCACTCTGCTACCCAGGCTAGAATGCAGTGGTGAGATCATAGCTCACTACAAACAGCCCTCCCATCTTTGTCTCCTGAGTAGCTGCGACTACAGGCACATACTACCATGTCTGGGTAATTTTTAAAATTTTTTGTAGACAGGGTCTACCATGTTGCCCAGGCTGGTCTCGAACTCCTAAGCTCAAGCAATCTTCATGCCTCAGCCTCCCAATGTGTTGGGATTATAGGCATGAGCTACTGCACCCGGCTGCTATAATTCTTTTTTGTTTTTGAGATGGAGTTTCGCTCTTGTTGCCCAGGCTGGAGTGCAGTGGCACGATCTTGGCTCACCGCAACTTCTGCCTCCCAGGTTCAAGCAATTCTCCTGCCTCAGCCTCCCAAGTAGCTGGGATTATAGGCATGTGTCACCACCCTGGGCTAATTTTGTATTTTCAGTAGAGACGGGGTTTCTCCATGTTGGTCAAGCTGGTCTCGAACTCTCAACCTCAGGTGATCCACCTGCCTCGGCCTCCCAAAGTGCTGGGATTACAGGCATGAGCCACGGTGCCCAGCCTATAATTCTTTTTATATGTTGCTAGGTTTGGTTTGCTAACAGTTTGTTAAGGAATTTTTTTTTTCAATTAAAAGACTTACTTATTTTTTCAAGTTTCCACATGCAGCAGTGATTCCTAAGGAATTTTACCCTTATTCATAAGAGGCATTGGTCTGTAGTTTTCTTGTTATGGCTTTGTCTGGTTTTATTATCAGGGTTATTACTGGTCTCATAGAATTGAGTAGGAAGTGTTCTCACCTCTTCTATATTTGGGTATTCTTTTTTTCCTTTTCCTTTTTTTTTTTTTTTTTTTAAATTTACAGCTGTCTGAAAGACCCATGGATATGAGCTTCTTGGTATTAATGTTTTAAAGTTTGGTAGAATTCAGCAGCGAAGCTGTTGAGACCTGAGATCTTCCTTGTGGGAAGTTTACTGATGAATAATTCCGTCTTGTATTTGTTACAGGTATATTCAGATCATCTGTTTCTTCTAGAATCAGTTTTGATAATGTATGTCTTTCTAAGAATTTGTCTGTTTCCTCTGGGCTAAACTGTTGGCAAATAATTATATTTCCTTCTGTTCTTTTTTATTCTTTAAGGTCAGTAGTAATGTCCTTTTCCTTTTCTGATTGTACTTTTTGTTTGTTTTGTTTTTTGAGACAGAGTCTCACTCTGTTGTCCAGGCTGGAATACAGGGGCATGATCTTGGCTTACTGAAACCTTGGCCTCCTGGGTTCCAGCAATTCTTGTGCCTCAGTCTCCTGAGTAGCTGGGACTACAGGCCTGTGCCACCTTGCCCAGCTAATTTTTGTATTTTTAGTAGAGATGGAATTTCCCCATGTTGCCCAGGCTGGTCTTGAACTCCTGGCCTCAAGCAATCCATCCACCTTGGCCTCCCAAGTGCTGGGATTACAGGCGTGAGCCACCGTGCCCTGCTCTTTGTAGTAGTTTGAGTCTCCTCCCTTTTGTTCTTGGTCTAGCTAAAGGTTTGTCCATTTTCTTGATCTTTTTCTTTTAAAAACCAGGTTTTTGGTTTCATTTATCTTATTTTTGTGTTCTTTATTCATTAGTATATAATCTGTTTCCTTCTTTCTGCTTACTTGAGGCTTACTTTTTGCTCTTTTCTATTGTTTTAAGATGGATGTTTAGGTAATTCATTTACTGTTTCTCTTAATATCTTTTTCCCCCAAATCCTTTATGTAGATCTGAGTATCTTTTAAAAGATACCTTTCCAATATCTCAATCTCTTTTATTATTATTATTATTTTTTGAGACAGCATCTTGCTCTGTCGCCTAGGCTGGAGTGTAGTGCTCACGGCAGCCTTCCTCCAGGGCTTAAGTGATCCTCTTCCCTAAGCTTCTTGAGCTGGGACCACAGCCGTGCACCACCATGCTCTGCTAATTTTTTGCAGAGATGAGATTTTGCTATGTTACCCAGGCTGGTCTCAAACTCCTGAGCTCAAGCAGTCCTCCCTCCTCGGCCTCCCAAAGTGCTGGGATTACATGCGTGAGCCATTGCCCTTCTTCATTTTTAATGTAAGCATTAACAACTATAAATTTTCCTCCATGCACTGCTTTAGCTGCATGAGTGTTGGTACAGTGTGTCTTCATTTCAAAAGTATTTTCTGATTTCTGTTTTTGACTTCTGTTTGACTCACTGGTTATGTAGCAGTATGTTGTTAACTTCGTATTTGTAAGTTTCCCAAATTTGTTATTGATTTCTACTTTCATTGTGGTTGAAAACACACTTTGTTTTATTTCAGTTCTTTTAAATATATTAAGAATTGTTTTATAGCCTAGCATATATGGTCTATCCTAGAGAATTTCAAAGTACATTTGAGAACACTGTGTTCTGTGGAGGTTGAGGGGAGTGTTCCGTAGATGTCTGTTAGGTCTAATTGTTTTATATTGTTAGTAAAGTGTTCTGTTTCCTTGTTGATCTGCCTAGACCTTCTCTCCATTATTGAAAGTGAGGTACTGAAATCTGTAAATATTATTGCTGAACTGTCTACTTTTCCCCTTCACTTCTGTCACTTCTCACTTCAAGTATTTTGTGCTGTGTTATGAAGTGTGTGTATAACTGTTATAGATTCCTGATGGCTTGACCCTTTTATCATTATGGAATGTCCCTTTTTAATAACTTTTTGTCCTAAAGTCTGATTTATAGTGTGATACATATATATATATATACACACACACACACACACAGTCATCCAACTTTCTTACAGTTTCTGTCTGTATATCTCTTTCTATCCTTTCATTTTTGAATGTATTTGTATTTTTTTAATCTAAAATGTCTCCTGTAGATAAAAATAATTTTGATTTCTTTTGCCTTTTGACTATGTATATAATTGGATTTATATCTGCCATTTTACTTTTCGTTTTCATGTCTTTCCCTTTGCCTTTTCAGCTTTGCTTTTGCATTAGGGTCAATATTTTGTAAAGTAGCATTTTCATGTCGGGTTTCTTTCACTGTGTGTGTGTGTGTGTAGTGGTAGCCCTAGGGCTTGCCATATATATCTTAATTTATCAAAAATCAGCTTCAGATTATACTCATTTAATTCCAGTGAGATATAGAAGTGTTCACTGTTTCGTTACACATATTACATCCATAAATGTACAACTCCACCAGTACATTGTTATAATTATTGATATAATTTTATGACTTCTAAAGTAGCAGAAAGGCAAGGAGTATAAGTGTGTATTTAAAACTTTTGCTATAGTAACCTTATTAATAATTTCTGGTTTTCTTTCTGGTTTTCTTTCTTTCTTAAGACAGAGTCTCGCTTTGTTGCCCAGGCTAGAGTGCAGTGGTGCAAACTCAACTTGCTGCAACCCCTGCCTCCCAGGCTCAAATGATCCTTCCCGCCTCAGCCTCCGATGTAGCTGGGCCTACAGGGTGCAGGCATGTGCACCATGCCCGGCTGATTTTTGTATTTTTTTGTAGAGACGGGGTTTCGCCATGTTGCCCAGGCTGGTGTCGAACTCCTGGCCTCAAGCAATTCACTTGCCTCAGCCTCCCAAAATGTTGGGATTACAGGTGTAGCCACTACGCCCAGCCTACTTCTATTTCTGTTATTCATTCCTGTGTATGTGAGTTGCCATCTGGAGTAATTTCCTTTGCCCAATATGGCTTTGCTTCTGCCTACGTCTTTTGTACTGTTTTTGGCAAATATATTACATTTTTGTATGTTACAGGTACATTATATATATATTATTTTATATAACTGATTTTTTAATCAGTTAAGAAAGGAGAAGAAATTGCATTTATACTCTATTTGTGATTACATAATTATCTTTACCAGTGCTCTTGGCTTTCTTCATGTATAGTATTGTCCAGGGGCATTTGCTTTTTTGGCTTGAAGAATTTTGTATAGTATTTCTTGTAAGGGGTTTTGCTAGCACCAAATTCTGTTTTTGTTTATCTGAGAGTACATTTTTTCACCTTCATTTCTGAAAGATAACTTGCAAAAATTTTGAATATTGATATTTCACAGATAAAACTCGAGTAACTTTTTAATAATGGATTCTTAGCTTAATATTTTTTCTTTCATCACTTTGAATGTTATCCCACTGCCTCTTGGCCTCTGTAGTTTCTGATTAGAAGTCAAATTTTATTTTATTGGGGTTTCCCTGTAACTGAAAAGTTGTTTTTCTCTTGATGCTTTCAATATTTTCTCTTTCTTCGGCTTTGAGCATTTTTACCGTGATATATCTGGTTATAGAGGAGTTTATCCTACTTGCAAGTCACTGAATGTCCTGGAGATGTAATTTAATAAATTTGGGAAGTTTTCAGTATTTCTTTGAACATTTTTTTCTGCTTCTTTCTCTCCTCTCCTGATTCTCCCATTACACTTATGTTGACTTCCTTAATGCTGTGCCACATTTCTCTGAGGCTCTTTATTTTTCTTCATTCTTTCTCTGTTCTCAGATCACACAATCTCTTCATGTTTGCTAATCTTTTTGTTTTTTTTGCTACTTCAAATCTATTTTCCCTAGCTTCTAGTGAATTTTTCATTTCAGTTACTGTAATTTTCTACTCCAAGTCTTTTTTTTTGAGACGAGTCTTGCTCTGTTGCCCAGACTGTACAGTGGCTCAATCTCAGCTCACTGCAACCTCCGTCTCCCGGGTTCAAGTGATTCTCCTGTCTCAGCCTCCCTAGTAGCTGGGATTACAGGCACATGCCACCATGCCTGGCTAATTTTTGTATTTTTAGTAGATACTGGGTTTCACCATGATGGCCAGGCTGAACTCCTGACTTCAAGTGAGCCACCCTCCTCGGCCTCCCAAAGTGCTGGAATTACAGGTGTGAACCACCGCACCCGGCCTCTAAGTCTTGATTCACATATTATTCTTAATGAATTTTAATAGATATTCTTGAATCGATGTATCTTCATTTGCTATATGCCTTTAATACCATTTCCAGAGACTTTAAATAGCTTTTATATAATTTTCACCCCTTTTACTGGGCAGCAGGTTCACACAGCTCCTCACACTATTATGGTGGAAATTGCTGTATCTCTCAGAGCACTCTTATTGTTTGCCAGGTCACAAAAGAAGATAAGTCCTTCCAGAATATTATGCGTTGTTATAGGACTCAGCCACAGGCCCGGAGCCAGGTAACTACATTTTCTCTATGGGCTGAAAATAACGCTTAAAGTCTGTGATGAATAAAAAAAATTAACCATAGTTGACTCTGTGGCCTTTTTTTCCAAGATAAACACCTGGGACTCTACTTAAGGGAAATTTCTGCTTTAATCTTCTTTATTCTTGATGTTACATGTTGATTAAGTTCTCTTTTCCTCAGAAGGCAACAATGTTAAATATTTGATTGCCTTCTCAATTCAGAAAAATCACAAGATAGATAGGAATTAAGAAGTTACTTGGTTTCTATGTCACCATTCTGGTTTAGTAAACATACTGTACGTTTAACCAAGAGAATGTCACATGGAAATTTAAAACCCACTTTGCCTTTATTACCATTCGTCTCTGAGAGGCAAATTGGCCAGATCTGTGTATCTGACTTAGAATGACTTGACTTTATGGTTGGGTGCTGTTACCGCAGCGTGGTACTGCAAGTAGTACTTGGCATGTGAAGCTAGATGGGCTCTGATTGAATCTTAGATCTGTTATAATTTGAGTTATGTTTCTTAACCTCTTCTGAGGACAACTGTTGCTACACAGATTATTGTGAAAAGTAACATATGTCAAGGTCCTATCACCAAGGGTGTGCTCAACAAATACTAGTTTACATCCCCTTCTCATTATTTCTCTAAAGGTGTACAGAAGTGTTTTGATAAAAGGGAAAAGAAAAAGACGAAATTCCGGCAGCAGTGATAGCAGAAGCCATCAGAATTCTCCAACAGAACTAAACAAAGATAGAAGTAAGTGGGATCTTTGTGAACTACAAGACAAAATTAGGAGCTTTTCTTTTTAGGACTTGAAGTAACCATTACTAAATGAAATAACTATAGAAACTATGAAAGTGTATAAACAAAGGGTTTAATGGATCAGTAAACCAAATTCTGGGTGGCAAAACTGTCCATTCCATAGCTTTGGGGCACATATTCTATAACATTTTTCTCCAGGAGAATTAGAGCTTTCAGTGAGGAATCTGCTTGCCTGAGTTTCAGAAAGGACTGACATGTCAGTTGGAGCCATGCTATGGAAATACCATCCCCTACCTGTTGGTTTGTCCTAGGGCTTAGGTCCTAGAAAACTTGGTGTAACTTATTAATACTACTCAGAAAGCCCTTGCTATGGTTATGGCATAGGGATATCAAGTTAAAATCCTAGCTGAGCTTTGCCTTTTGGTGTGAAGAACAGAGTGCCTATTCACTGTTATTAGCAAGTAATGCAGGTAGCTGTTCCCTTTCTCCTACTTTTTAAAAATTAAAACAATCTATACTAGCAGCTTTTGTATTGACACCCTGTGTTCTCCTGGCTGCAGCCAGTAGAGACTCCAGTCCAGTCATGAGGTCAAGCAGCACCTTGCCAGTTCCACAGCCCAGCAGTGCTCCTCCTACACCTACTCGCCTCACAGGTGCCAACAGTGACATGGAAGAAGAAGAGAGGGGAGACCTCATTCAGTTCTACAACAACATCTACATCAAACAGATTAAGACATTTGCCATGAAGTACTCCCAGGCAAATGTAGTAAGTATTACAGGGATCATTTCATGCTTTTTTCATGAGTATTGAGGAATTATTTATGATTTATATATGGACCATTCACCTGGTCCATATATAAACTAGTTTTGGCCAAGCGTGGTGGCTAACACCTGTAATCCCAGCACTTTGGGAGGCTGAAGCGGGCAGATCAGTTGAGGTCAGGAGTTCGAGACCAGCCTGGCCAACGTGGTAAATAAAACCCAGTCTCTACTAAAAATACAAAAATGAGCCAGGCGTGGTGGAACACATGTGTAATCCCAGCTACTCTGGGGGCTAAGGCAGGAGAATTGTTTGAACACGGGAGGTAGAGGTTGCAGTGGGCTGAGATTGCGCCACTGCACTCCAGCCTGGGCGACAGAACGAGACTCTGTCTCATAAATAAATAAGCTAGTTTTACAAATAATTCTATTAAGTAAAACTGAGGAGGTCTGTAATTTACCTAGCCAACATAAGTTCTGTTGTTAAGCATTAAACAAGAATAAGATTGTATTTGGAGTCCCTACAAAGTATAGTAGTACAAGAGACAGGCTACATGGGTTCAAATTGTCTAGTACTTAACAGTAGTGGTAACCTTGCAAATCATTAAATTTTCTCTGTACCTTGTTTCCTCATATATATAAAACATGGGAATATAACTAGTTCTTAGCATATGGAATTGTAAGGATGAAATGACATAATATATAAAAATTGCTTAAAATAATAACTGGCACAAACTAAGCACTTAAGGTTTGCTATTAGAATGTTTTTCTTTAGGTTAAATTAGTGCTAATGTATCACTCTTATCATTCTTAGTAAAAATACCTCATTATAAATTTCTTTTCTTAGAGTTACTGATTTTTTTTTTTAACAGATGGATGCTCCTCCACTCTCTCCCTATCCATTTGTAAGAACAGGCTCCCCTCGCCGAATACAGTTGTCTCAAAATCATCCTGTCTACATTTCCCCACATAAAAATGAAACAATGCTTTCTCCTCGAGAAAAGATTTTCTATTACTTCAGCAACAGTCCTTCAAAGGTGAGCCTAACATCAGTCTTGGCCTTTACTAACCCCAGAATGCTTCAGATGCTAGAAAGAGGGTTTGTGCTAAGCCTAGGCACTCATTAGAGTGATGAGAGCTACCAGGGAGCAGTGATCAGTCAGTTCCCATGCAGCAAAACCCAGGATTTGTTGTTTTTTTGCTTTTTTTGAGGGTGGAATTTTAGGGTTGGAAACAGGGTAAGGGATTTGGATTTCTTTTTATCCCCTCTCCTATTTATACATTTTGAACATTTTGCTATAAACCTGAAGTTTGTGTTTATCCCATTTGTAACAATTTTCCACATGTGTTAGGGAAATAAATTTTGGATTCCTTACCAAAGGCCTGTTTCTGGGACAGGCAGTGTCCTCTGGACTCTGGCTAAGGGGAGAAGTTGACATTTTGGACATTGCAGTGCAACAGTCATATTAGCACAGATGTATGTGGCAACAGCCGCCTCATTCTAACAAGGGGAAGGAAGCTTGAGTCAGGCCTTAATGTTGAAAAGTCAGGGAGCTGCTGAGGTATGGAAGGGCATTCAGTAGGAAGCGGGTAAGGGGAAGAAAACCGTATCCTTGAGGCAGTGATCCAAAGCTCGAATACAGGTATCATGCTATGTTAGCGAGTGGAACTGGATTGTGAAGGCCCTTACATGATGAGATTTGTATTGATAAAGGTTGCATAGAGGCTGGGCGTGGTGGCTCACACCTGTAATCCCAGCACTTTGGGAGGCCACTGTGGGCAGATCACCTGAGGTCAGGAGTTCAAGACAAGCCTAGTCAACATGGTGAAACCTCATCTCTATTAAAAATACAAAAATAAGCCGGGCATCGTGGCATGCGCCTGTAATCCCAGCTACTCGGGAGGCTGAGGCAGGAAAACTGCTTGAACCTGGGAGGTAAAAGTTGCAGTGAGCCAAGATCGCACCATTGTACTCCAGCCTGAGTGACAAGAGTGAAACTCTGTCTCAAAAAAAAAAGATTGCTTAGAAATACACACACATATATAGGGCCTGAAATCTTCAAAAAAAAAGTATCATGAGAAAATGGTCGAGGATGGGGAAGGTGTCATAGAGGAGACTGGGGAGACATGACACCCAAATGCAATGCATAATTTTTGGTCCTGCATAGGAAAACACTGCTATAAAGGACATTTTGAGGAAATTTTGAATGTGGCCCTCAGTGTATTTTTTTTTTTTAAGTTTCTTTGGTGTTGATGATGCCTAGTAGATTATGTAGGAGACGGTGCTGAAAGTATTCAGAGGTAAAGTGACTCAGTGTCTGCAGCTTACTTGCACACGGGTTGGTTGCAATATATTTAGGTAGGGAGAGAGTGACAGCAACTCTCAGACATTAATGATTGATAAGTGGGTGCTCAATGTACTATTTTTCCAACTCTTTGTAGGCTTGAAATCTTTTAAAAAGTTGAGGAAAACAGTCCGGGTACAGGGCCTCACGCCTGTAATCCCAACAGTTTGGCTGGCAGGGGTGGGAAGATTGCTTGAGGCCAGGAGTTGGAGACCAGCTCAGGCAACATAGCAAGACCTCATCCCTACAACAAATAAAAATTAGCTGAGCATGGTGCCATGCACCTGTAGTCTTAGGTACCCAGAAGGCTGAGCCCAAGAGATCAAGGCTGTAGTGAGCTATGCTCACGCCACCACACTCCAGCCTGGGTGATAAAGTGAGAAACCCTGTCTCTTTGGGGGAAAAAAAAAAAAGGTTGAGGAAAACAAGTAAACAAGAACAGCAAAAATCTGTTAGAAAATGTAATAATGGGCCGGGCATGGTGGCTCATGCCTGTGATCCCAGCACTTTGGGAGGCCACGGTGGGCTGATCACCTGAGGTCAGGAGTTCAAGACGAGCCTAGTCAACATGGTGAAACCCCATCTCTACTAAAAATACAAAAATAAGCCGGGCATGGTGGCGGACACCTGTAATCCCAGCTACTCAGGAGGCTGAGGTGGGAGAATTGCTTGAATCCCGGAGGCAGTTTGCAGTCAGCTGAGATCATGCCATTGCACTCCAGCCTGGGGGACAAGAACAAGACTCCATCTCCAAAGAAAAATAGAAAATGTAATGGAGAAACCTTTCCTATCATAGTAAAAACAAAAAAAGGGTGTAAAGGTGTCACATGCTTTGGAATAAATTTATAACTTTTGAAAACTGGAATAAATGAAGAGATACCAGTGTTTCTGAATAAGAAGACCAAATATTTAAAAGATATACTTTCTCCGTTACATAGGCTTAGTCTAATTCCAATGATATTCCTAGTAGGACTGTTATGAAACATGGAAACATAAATTGGCAGTAACAGCCCCAAAAAGCAACTGGAGTTGGAGGAAATGATTCTCATGGCTTAAATTAGACTCTCATCCTGAAACCTATAAATTCCTTTTTTTTTTTTTTTTTTGAGACAGAGTCTCACTCGTTGCCCAGGCTGGAGTGCAGTGGCTCACTGCAAGCTCTGCCTCCCAGGTTCACGCCATTCTCCTGCCTCAGCCTCCCTTCCTGAGTAGCTGGGACTACAGGCGCCTGCCACCGTGCCTGGCTAATTTTTTGTATTTTTATAGAGACGGGGTTTCACCTTGTTAGCCAGGATGGTCTCAATCTCCTGACCTTGTGATCCGCCCGCCTTGGCTTCCCAAAGTGCTAGGATTACAGGTGTGAGCCACCGCGCCCAGCCTGTAACCTATAAATTCTAAATGGATTACAGAGTTAAATGGAAAAAAAGAACAGAATAATATCAGGTAATAGACAAAGCAGATGAATTGGAATCATAATACTCAAAAGGCGTCTTAAAAAGGAGGAAAAAAGGAACATACAGGAAAATAGCATTTAAATGTAAATGGTCTAATAAGTGTACCAATTAAAAGTTAGAATTTATCTGATTGGACAAAAAAGCAGGACCAAACTATATGTTGTTCGTAAGTTATATACTTTAAATATAAAAATGTGTATTCATGAATGGAATATTACTTGGCAATAAAAAGGATGAAGTACTGATAAACGCTACAATATGAATGGACCTTGAAAACACTGTTAAGTAAAAGAAGTCAGTCACAAAAGAATACATATTTTATGATTCCATTTATATGAGTTGTCCAGAATGGGCAAATATCTAGAAGCAGAAAGAAGATTCGTGGTTGCCAAGGGTTGTGGGGAATAGAGTTTCTGCTTATGGACAAGAAGTTTCTCTCTGGGGTGATGAAAGAATTCAAAAATAGAATGTGGTGATGGCTACTCTGGGAACATACTAAAAGCCATGGAGCTGTACACTTCAAATGGTTGTATAATACAGTGTAAGAATTATATCTCAATAAAGCTGGAAGGGTGGAAAAGGTTATACCATGCTACCACTCATCAAAAGAAAGTTGGAGTGGCTGTATTAGTATCAGAGAAAGTAGATTTCAGAGCAAAAAATATTATCAGTGACAAAGTGGGTCGTTTCCTATTATAAAGAGGACATATAACCCTAAATAGAAAAAAAAAAAAAAAGATAGTCAAGAGATTTCAACATAATTGGTATAACAAATAGAGAAAATCAGTAAGGATACAGAAGATGTAGCATTATCAATCAACTGCCATTTATAGAACACTATCAAGTGCAGAGAGAACATTTACCAACATAGACTGCATTCTGGACCATAAAACAAGTCTTGATAAATGTTAAAGGGTTGAAATACTATGTTTTCACTGATCACAATGGCATTAAATCAGAAATCAGTAAGAGAAAAGATACCTGGAAAATCCCCCAATTCTTGGAAACTAAATTATGTATTTCTGTTGGTCAAAGAAAGCACAAGAGAAATTAGAAAATATTTTGAACTAAATGAAAATAAAAACCCAAAATATTAAAATTTGTGGGATGTAGCTAAAACAGTGCTGAGAGAGAAATACATAGCACTGAACACCTATGTTAGAAAAGAAAAAAGGTCTCAAATTAGTGACCTAAGATTTCGGCTTAAGAAAGCAGAAAAGTGTAGGACTCACTGAAATGGAAAACTGGAAAGTAGAGAAAAACCAAGGCAAACAAAAGCTAGGTTTTTGGGGGGCCGAGTGCCATGTCTCATGCCTGTAATCTCAGCACTTCGGGAGGCTGAGGCGGGTGGACTGCTTGAGCTTAGGAGTTCGAGACCAGCCTGGGTAACATAGCAAGACCTTGTCTCTACTTTAAAAAAAAAAAGAAAAAAAAAAAAAACTGGGTGTGGTGCTGCACACCTGTGGTTCCAGCTACTCTGGAGGATAAGGTGGGGAAGGATGGCTTGAGCCCACGTGTTGAGGCTACAGTGAGCCATGCTCACGTTACTGCACTCCAGCCTGAGGGACAGAATGAGACCGCCCGCCCCCCCAAAAATTGATACCTCTATGTACAGAATAAACAGGAAAAAGAAATGACACATTACTAATATACATTAGAAGTATAATGAAAGATAAAGAACTTAATGCCAGCCAGATGTGATGGCTCATGCCTGTGATCTCAGCACTTTGGGAGACCAAGGCAGGAGGATCCTTGAGCCCAGTAGTTCAAGACCAGCCTGGGCAACATAGCAAGAACTTGTCTCCGGGAAAAAAACAAAAAAAACAACAAAAAAAAACACCCCGCCAGGTGTGGTGGGGTTGGTGAGGTGTGCCTATAGTCCCAGCTACTCAGGAGGCTGAGGTGGCAGGGTCGTTAGAGCCTGGACAGTCAAGGCTGTAGTGAGCTATGATGGCCCCCCTGCACTCCATCCTGGGCAACAGAGTGAGACCCTGTTTCAAAAAAAAATTTTAAAGAACAACTTAATGCCAATAAATGTGACAATGCACATGAAATAGACAAATTCTTGAAAGACATAAACTAATAAAACTCAAGTAGTAGTAGTCTCAATAGCCCCTGTATCTACTAAAGAAATTAATTTGTGGTTTAAAAACCTCCTGTCAGAAAACTGTAGGCCCAGATGGCTTCAATGGTAAATGCTACCAAACATTTAAGGAAGAAATATGCCAATTCTATAGAAACTCTTACAAAAAGTGAAGGTGATAAATCATCTTAGTGTTTGAAGGAAAGCATCTGACAAAATCCAACATTCATTAATGTAAAATCTCTCAAGGAACTTCCTCAGCTTGGTAAACATTTACCAAAAGCACCTACAAATATCATACTTAATGGTAAAAGACTGAATGCCTTGCCCCTATGATCAGGAACAAGGCAACAATGTCCACTCTCACTACCCCTATTCAACATTGTAACTGGGGGTCCTAGCATGTGCAATAAGACAAGAAAAAGAAGCCATACAGCCTGGATTGCCTACATAGAAAAATCACAAAGAATCCACAAAAAGCTACTGGAACTAATAAGGGAGGTTATGTGATCAATATACAAAAATCAAATGTATTTCTGTATGCTAGCAGTGAACAATCAGAAGTAAAATAAAAAAATGAATACTGTAACATTTAAAAATTACTTAGGGGTATGATAAAAACTATGCAAGACATGTATCCTGAAAATTATCAAAGCTTGGTGAGAGAAATTAAAGCCTGAGAAAATAGAGAAATGTGTTCATGACATTGAATGAAAATGATACCTTATTTTCCAATTCATGGAAAATAAAACAGCAGTTTTCTCCCAATTTCAAACCAATTTCAGTCAAAATCCAGATTTATATAAAAAACTGATTCTAAAATTTGTAATTTACAAGGCAAAGGAACTCAAATAGCTAAAATAACTCAAAGTTGGAGGCTTCACACTAATTACGAAGCTACACAAAATATCTGTATTATAATACCACAGTAATCAAGACAGTAGTGTTGGTGGAAGTATAGACACAGAGATCAATAGAACAGAACAGAGTCCAGAAACAGACAACACGTATATGGTAAACTGATTTTCAACAAAGGTGCAAAGGCAATTTGATAGAGAAAGGATAGCCTTTTCAACAGATGGTGCTGGAACAATTGGATATGCATTTAACAAAATATTAGTAAATTTGTTCCCATGCCCTGCACCATATACAATAACTAAAAATGAACCACAGACATAAATGTAAAATCTCAAACTACAAAACCTCTAGAAGAAAACAGAAAATCTTGGTGAACATGTTTTATGGGAAAATTTTATATACAACATCAAAAGCGCAATCCACAAAATACTGTTAAAATGGATTTTATCAAAATGAGTAATTTCTGCTCTTTGAGACACTGTTAAGAGAATTAAAAAACCAGCCATGGACTATTAGAAAATCTGTACACATTCCGTATCTGATGAAGCATTTGTTTATCTACAATTTCTAAAGAATTCTCAAAATTCAGTAGGAAAACCACCAAATGTAAAAGTGGGCAAAAGATTTGAACACGCTTTACCCATTACATGCCTGTTAGAATGGCTAAAATCTAAAAAGTGACAAATCCTAAGTTCTGGCAACAATGTGGAGCAATTTTACATATTGCTGGTGTGAACGCAAAATGGCATCACCACTGTGGAAAGTTGTTTCTTAAACATGCCATTATCGTACAACCAGCAATCTCATTCCTTGGTATTTACATAAATGAAATGGAAGCTTATGTTTACACAAAATCATGTACATGACTGTTTATAATGACGTTCTTCCTAATTGCCAAAAAGGGGGAAACAACCCAAACGTCCTTCAGCTGGTGAATGCATATAAATAAGCCTGTGGTGCATCCAGACAATCGACTGCTACTTTGCAATAAAAAGGAACTGATACATTCAACGTAGACAAATCTCAAATGCATCAATGCTTAAGTGAAAGACACTGGATTCAGTAGGCTACTTATGATTCCATTTCTGTGACATTCGGGAAAAGGCAAAACCATTGGACAGGAACATCAGTGGTGGTTTGGGATGGGCGGACAAGGGAGTATGGGGGAATTTTTCAGAGGAAAAGAACAGTTTTATACGACTGTAGGTATTTCTAGCACAGAATCAGGAGTCTGTGCAGTAAAATGAGTGATTATTAGACTGTTGGTTGGAGAAAGATTTGTCATCTTGACTTAACAGGTGATAGCTGAAACTTAGGGGGAGAATATTACAAAGCAAGAAGTAGCTTATGTCTAGAACCAACCTATAATGTAGTAACATTTATACTACTATGAGAAAATAATTATCAACTACTATACAAGATCAGTTAAGATGAAGACTGATCATTAGTGATACTTGACAGAGCAGTGTCAGTGCATTGGTGTGACTTGTTGGAAAAAAAATTATGGTAGCATTGCTTATACACAATTAACAATGTATACAGTAAAGAGTGTAAGAAATATTCAAGCAAATGGCAGACTGCAGAGATAGCAAATGCAGACCAGACTGTTAGGAGGGCAGAAAAGGGGCTAGAAGAGAAAGAGTTGAAGGAAAGCTTTCTTCAGATACTTAAGATTTTGTGGCCAGGTGCAGTGGCTCATGCCTGTTACCCCAGCACATTAGGAGGCCAGAGCAAGAGGACTGCTTGAGCCCAAGAATTCAAGACTAGCTTGGGCAACATAGTGCAACCCCATTTCTATTGTTAATTTTTTTTTAAAAAAAAAGAAGAACACTTGTGAAGGTACATCTGTTGATAATAAAGAACACTGACTTTAAAACCCCCAAAACGTTTATGACTTTAAAGAATAAAAATAACAAGTGTCATGATAAAATATGTCTGGGATTTGTTTTAAAATAATCTGAGGAATGGAAGTGAATGGAAGTATAAATCAAACATGCTAAAGTAGAGGAATAGGTATGTGAGGATGCATTACGCTGCTTCTCTACTTTTGTATGTTTACAATTTCCTGTAATATATGTCTGTGAATTTGCTTAGTATGCTTTCTGTAAGCAAACATGGATGAAGCAGCACATGAAAAAGAATTTTAACCAACAAACTACCCGAAAATAATGTGACAGATGACTTTTAGAGGCTTTGGAGAAACTGAATGGTAAAGGCACTGTACAGCCAGTCTTTCTGGCATTCTGGCAGTGTCTTTCTCAACTGCAGCTCCTCATCTGAGCCAATGTCCAGAAAATAATTGAGTAACTTTCCTCAATTGTCCCAAGGATAATATATAGTTAACTAGTATCATTCTAGATTTTACTAATTTATTACCTACAATGAATACCTTAGGGAATTAAGGCCTACTTTTCTAGTGAAATCCCAGTTGAGAATGGCTGCTAAAAACTAACATTAGACTGAAAAAAAAGAGTATTGTATAAAATTGTACTTTAAAAAAGAGAAAAAGATGTGTCTAAGTGACTATCGGATAGCAACGTAATGCTCCATAATTGTAAAAAAATCACAAATTTGTGAACTCACAAATTATAGAAATGTATAGGTCAAAAGTACCTGTGGAAGAGCTTGTTAAAAATAGAACTACTCAGCCCCTTCTCAAATAGCCATCAGCCTCAGCCAGCTGAAAAGGAAAGTTGGCAGGTTATGTAACTTAGTATTTGTTTTCTCTGTAGATGTGTTCAAATTCTTCCAGATAAATTGTTTAACTCATTTAAGATTCTTTGACTTAATACTGGGCTGTGTGCATTTGCATTTTAAAATTTTTATATCTTTTTCCCACCATAGAGACTGAGAGAAATTAATAGTATGATACGCACAGGAGAAACTCCAACTAAAAAGAGAGGAATTCTTTTGGAAGATGGAAGTGAATCACCTGCAAAAAGAATTTGCCCAGAAAATCATTCTGCCTTATTACGCCGTCTCCAAGATGTAGCTAATGACCGTGGTTCCCACTGAGGTTGGTCTCTTGTATTGAAACTCTTTTCACAACATGTTTAGCCGCATCCTTTAATGCATCTAGATTATGGAGCTTTTTCCCTTAATCCAGCTGATCAGTTACAGCCTGTTAGTAACGAGGGGATATTTTGGTGAGAAATGGGACTTAACTCCTTCCAGTATCCTTAGAACATTTTAATTCATCCCAACTGTCTTCTTTTCCCTACCATTCAGTGATTACTGTCAAGGCTGCTTAGAATCCAAACTTGGATTTTTGACTCTGACAAAGCTTTTAAAAGTACTACAAGAAAATGATGTGTACCCAAATGTGAGCATACGAGGCTGCTGTTGACATACTCCAACAGAAGAACTGTGTTTCAAGTTCACTCCTACCTGTTTTGTGGTCAGCTGTAGTCCTCATAAAAAGCAAAACAAAAATTAGGTATTTTGTCCTAAAACACCTGGTAGGAGTGTGTGATTTTTACATTCCTGAAACAGAACAAAGGAGAGCGCACCCAGGTTTGGAGGTCCTAGGTCACTAGCCCTCGTCTCCCATTCCCTTTGTGCACGTCTTCCCCTCTCCCCATTTGGTGTGGTGCAGTGTGAAAAGTCCTTGATTGTTCGGGTGTGCAATGTCTGAGTGAACCTGTATAAGTGGTGGCACTTTAGGGCTGTAAAATGCATGATTTTGTAACCCAGATTTTGCTGTATATTTGTGATAGCACTTTCTACAATGTGAACTTTATTAAGTACAAAACTTCCAGGCTAAACATCCAATATTTTCTTTAATGCTTTTGTACTTTTTTAAACTGTTAAAGCCCCTATAGTCACCTTTTGGGAATATGTTTTAATTTCTCCGGTTTTTTGTTATATAGGGATCAATCGGCTAAGAAAAGATTTTAAATCAAGTTGAATTGAGGGGATTAATATGAAAAATTATGACCTCTTCCTTTAGGAGAGTTATCTAAAAGAAATGTCTATTAAGGTGATATATTTTAAAATATTTTTGGGTGTTCCTGGCAGTTTAAAAAATTGGTTGGAGAATTTAGGTTTTTATTAGTACCATAGTACCATTTATACAAATTAGAAAATATTATTTAACAGCTGTTGAATTATCTATACATACCTTTATTAATCACTATTGTTCCAGCAGTTTTCAAGTCTAATTAATCATCTTATTAGGGAGAAAATTCAATTGTAAATTGAATCAGTATAAACAAAGTTACTAGGTAACTTCATATTGCTCTGAGAGAAATATGGAACTTACACTGTTCAATTAGAATAGTGTTCTGCAAAAATATTTATAAAACCTCTCAAGATACTTACTGCTACTGTAATTTTATATGAAGATAAGTGTATTTTTCAATAAAGCATTTATAAATTAGCCTTTGTTTGGTTATATTGAGAAAAGGGTAGTTTCCTGCATAAATGGCAAAGAACAATCATTTATTGGTTTATTTTGTCTCTACTAAACACATTAGTCATTCATCATTTAAATACCGGACTTCATTAGAAACCGTTTTAACACTTTTTCTCCCTCCTGCCATAAAAATACAGTAAGTAATTTGCTTAAAAAAACAACACAACACTAGGAACAAGTGTTCTGGTTTCTCTCCCCCAACTAAAGACATTTCTCAGTGATTTCAGTTTGTAAATCAGTAAGACAGTGCAGGCTACAAATCAGTGCAGGCTGAAGACTGAGATTCAAATGATCTTCCACTTAAAAGTGCTGAGCTATGGAACCTGCTCTCTCTATACCTCTCCATTTCCTAACATATATACAACTGAAACCACTGATTTAAAAACTAAGTAGTGCTGAATTCTGTCTGCTCTATTAATTTAAATGAATGCAACTTACCTTTAGCATTATATTCAGAAAAATACTTAAGCCTCAAGGTCCCCAATAATTTGGAGTACTGAACTAGATAACCACCCTAAGACACTTCTGACAGAAGTAATGCATTACTTAGAGACAGGTTTCCAAACCCTGCTGTTAGAACCTATGCATACATGGAAAACACTGGCAGTCAGTCATTGTTCACACAGTTTTACTCTTCAGGCAGTCCTCTGCCATTGGTCAGGTTGAACTAGGCCAGAGTCCAGCAGGAAAGTGCATGGTGCACCAGATTCACCATCTCTTAAGTCGCCACTGTTTTCTCTTCTTTACTGAAAGGCTGTACTGAGCCAGGCTTTACCCATGACAGGCCAGCAACATGAACACTTTTATTGTGCTGTTCTTCAGGCTTCTTCTAGGCACAATCAAAACAGATATTAAAAAAAACTACTGATGAGGAGACTTCAGCACTGTACAAACTTGTTTCCCAAAAAATTTACTTGCATGTAATGAGCAGTCTCCAAATGAAGACATTTAGAAAAGAAACAACGACTTGGCCATTTCATAAGTAGTTATCCACTTACTTTCTGAGTCAGCATCTTTTCTCTGGCTTCATCATGTACAGAAGGATTCCATGGAGAAAAGCTTAAGGAAGAGAAAAGTATTTAAAAACTATTTGTTGGCTGACTAAATTTCTATAACATTCATTTTGCAGTAATTAAGTTTCAAGCCAATTCCCCTAACTTAATAAAGAAGAGTGCTTTTTTTTGTTTTCGACAAGTATGTTTTAGACATTATCTAATTAATTTTCTCACATAACTATCCTTCATACATGAATGATCTCATTTAAGCCTCACACCAACCCCTGAAGTACTATTATTTAAAGATTAAGAAAGCAAAGCAAAATTAATTGCTCTGGATTACCAGAGCTAAAAAGTACAAAAGCCAAGTAGTCCATCTGCTGAGTCCATGCTCTTTTTTTTGAGACTGAGTCTAGTTCTGTCACCCAGGCTGGAATGCAGTGGTGTGATCTCCGCTCACTGCAACCTCCGCCTCCTAGATTCAAGCCCTTCTCCTGCTTCAGCCTCGCTGGGACTACAGGTGCGAGTCACCATGCCTGGCTATTTTTTTTTTTTTTTTACTTTGAGATGGAGTTTCACTCTTCTTGCCCAGGCTGGAGTGCAACGGCAAGATCTTGGCTCACTGCAACCTCTGCCTCCCAAGTTCAAGCGATTCTCCTGCCTCAGCCTTCCAAAGTAGCTGGGATTACAGGCATGCGCCACCACACCCAGCTAATTTTGTATTTTTAATAGAGACAGGGTTTCTCCATGTTGGTCAGGCTGATCTCAAACTCCCGACCTCAGGTGATCCCCCCGACCTTGTCCTCCCAAAGTGCTGGGATTACAAGTGTGAGCCACTGTGCCCGACCAATTTTTGGATTTTTAGTAGAGATGGGGTTTGGCCATTTGGTCAGGCTGGTCTTAAACTCCTGACCTCGTGATCCACCCACCTTGACTTCCTAAAGTGCTGGGATTACTGGCATAAGCCACCATGCCTCGCCATGAGTCCAAGCTCTTAACAGCTATACTCCACTGCCTTCCCAAGCAGTACCAATGTTGCCAAAGAGCAAAATCACCAATTCGTCCATTCCCAATACTCCTCCAGACACTGTTCCTTAAATCAAATGTCATAGTGCTTCAGGAACCCACCATTCTCACGCTATTCAGTTTCCCTCCTTTTACCACATCTGAATGTCAATGAGGGTGTGGCAGTTTAAGAGGGGCTCCAGCTAAAACTGCAAGCTGAAAAGAGTCCTGACATGTGAATGAATAAATACGTCATAAGGATCCCTGGGAAACCAAAGTCACCAGAGAATGTGCTGTTAGCACAGCCTGTCAGATGTAAAGGTTTTTGCTTAAGAGCCTCAGAGGCATCAGAATTCGAGTTGGCACCAAGTTATAAAGGTTGTAGGCTAACAGCTTATGCATGTGCCTTTTTAAATCCCTATTCTGAGACCACCTGGAGAAAGGAAGCAGTGTATTGGAAAGGACAGTAGACAATTCATTTGGGAGATGCACCACTTACCTAATTGCATAGGGGTCTTCTATTTTAGGTTGGTCGAACAAACGAGCAGTGCACACCTTAACACTGTCAACAACTTTACTTTTAAAAAGCTGAATATCTTTTTCATACCTGTGTTAAAAGTTTAAGTCAAAAAGTTACTTAATCTACTTAGCTGCATCTTCAAATTTATTTTAAATAACAAAGCAAAAGTTACATACAGTACTGCAGCCTCTGGGTTCAGGGGGCTTGCTGTATCAATCTTGTAGAAAACTCTCCTTGCATACATTAATACCTGCCAAATATGATTATGGTTCCGCCTAAAGGGAAACATAGCGTGATTACTGAGGCGTCCTTTTGCAGTATTATGTCACTAAAACAAACCCTTTACTTACTTACCTCCATTTTGCAAATGCTCTCTTCACATCCAGCTCACCTGAGGTGGGATCAACTAGCGGGTGAAAAACGGGAATATCGAACACCAAGCGCTGTATTTAAATAAAAAGAGACGTGCCCTTTAATGGAAGCAGTGGCACTTATGAGACCCATAGGAATCGTGATAAAAAGAGCTTCAGGACAAGGCAGTCACGTTATTTAAAGCTAAAGAGCTGCCTCAAGAGGGATACTTAACTACTTTTACCATTTTCCTGAAAAACTAAATTTTGAGATGAAGCGGGGAAAACTCCCTCTCCACTAGAGCCTGAGGGCCACCATTCACCTGGTGAGTGCTGCAGGACGGCAGGCAGCCAGCCTCCCTTGCAGACCCTGAGCAGAGAAACAAAGCTCTGATGGCATGCCGGAAGCTGCTGCAAAGCACAGAAGTCCCCCTGGACAACTACTGGGTAGATATATCATAAAGGTACCAGGTCAGGAAAAGAACTAGGAAAGCTGTAAGCCCTTTTAGCCCTTCTCGCTGATCCACAAATGAAGCCAGACTGTGTCTCCAACTTACCGGACAGTCACCATCTGGATAGTTATCAGGGATGTAAACTGTAAACTTAAATACGCCATCTTGGTAAAGTCCATGCCGTATGAATATTACTCCAAACCACACTGTAGGAAAAAATAAAAGAGTTAAGGCCTAAATTTGTGTGGGAGGAACTAAATGTGCCCATAAATTAAGAATGAATCCTCATCTTACTTAATGCAGAGCGATAAGATGGCTGCACATAGACGCCTGGTAGCTTCTGCTTCACAACCAAGGTACTACAACAAAAGCAGAGTAATTAATTTGTGTGGATACAAATGACACATGAAGATGAAACCACCCCACATTTACTTCGAGACAATGAATGGCCCCTCAAGGGGCAGCTGATGCCCAAACCCTGCAAGCCAAGTTCTCACAATCTCTCACCTGACACGATCAGAGCCCTGGCCCTGACCGCTGCCCACTACCAGCTTCACAGCAGCAGCTCACAGAGAAACAAGCAGGCCAGCAGGGGCCCCACAGTAAGAACTAAAGCCAAACAGGGAAAAATGAAGAATCAAGTTTCCTCCCAGAAATCCGCTCTTCCAAAACATCATCTTGGAAACCAGCCTATAGGTAATTCCAAATAATGCAACCCGAGGTAAGTTATGTACAGTTGAGGTCAATGAGAGTATCTGTAAAATTATGCTTTTGTGACTGTGGATGATCATTCAAAAACTTTTAAAATACAATGTTAGATAAATTACGATTTCTTGGAATTAGGTCACAAAGTTGTCATTTTACATTTTAATCACAAGATCCCACAGCAGAGGGCAATGTTCAGACTCGCAGTGCTGCCTGGGGAGGGCAGGCATCCTTGTGTGGCTCTCACACGCCCTGCTCTAAAACGGACCCCCTGATGCAGACACCTGAACTCTGTGGGCCTTGCCAGAAAACGGGAAACTAGGTGCTGAAAACAAGAAACAACAAGTGCACCGACACAAAACCTACACTGGTTCTTCCGGGACCCAGTTACCCACCCACAGCCATTCTGGTCACTAACCTGCCAATCCTGGATTTTATGAAGAACTAGTTTATCAGGCCTTAAGTTTATCATCTTTATTACCTACTTTCCATTCACTTATTTTTAATCATTTTTGAGTTATTATCTAGTTCATTTTTAAGTTGCTAAAATTTAGCATGTCAATAGCAACATGGCTGGCAGATGTCTCTACTACAGTGAAGTTTGCCAGAAAAGGCAGTTCTGTGTTCTAATACAGATTTAATCACCACAATAGAGGCCTGTCCAACTTGCTGCCCAGCCTCAAACACAAGGCCTCCATTATAGAGCCAAAGGGGCCATTACTACCAAATCACACCCAGCCAATTACACTGGGGCCTCAGACCCTCTGACCATTACAACATTAATACACTGAGGGAAGGGTCAAGGATGCCTTTTTTTAAAAAATTTTTTTTGGTTTAAAAAAAAAAAAAAAAGATGAGGTCTCATAGGCTGAGTGTGGTGGCTCACACCTGTAATCTCAGCCCTTTGGGAGGCCGAGACAGGCAGATCATTTGAGGTCAGGAGTTTGAGACCAGCCTGGCCAACATGGTGAAACCCAGTCTATACTAAAAATACAAAAATTAGCGGGGTGTGGTGGCGTGCACCTGTAGTCCCAGCTACTCCAGAGGCTGAAGCAGGAGAATCACTTGCACCCAGGAGGCGGAGGCTGCAGTAAGCTGAGGTTCTGCCACTGCACCCCAGCCTGGGTGACACAGTGAGATTCCATTTCAAAAAGAAAAAAAAGATGAGGTCTCACTATATGGCCTACGCTTGTCTCACATTCCAGAGCTCAAGTGATTTACCCACCTCAGCCTCCTAAGTAGCTGGGACTATAGGTCCACAGCTGGGAAATTTTTAATTGTTTTTTAGAGACAGGGTGGTCACTCTGTTGCCCAGGCTGGTCTTGAACTCCTGGGCTCCAGTGATCCTCCTGCGTCCGTCTCCCAAGTAGCTGGGATTACAGGCACGAGCCACTGTGCCTGACTCAAGGATGCTTTTAAAATAACTGTATACAAAGGAATTTTTAAATTATGGAAATTAAGAATTATCCAAACTTTCTGTCCTTTTAACAAATTCTCGAATGAAATGCCATCTGCGTCTGTGCAGTGCTGGAGCCCCCGTGTGTGCCAGGCACCACAGGGTCGCTGCCAGCACTCTGCACCCTGCTTGGCTTCTTGCACTCCACAACCAGGCGCAACTGCAGCCCAGCTGCAGACCTCGGTGACCAGTCAGCGTCTTCCTTACATGGAGCCCACATCTTTGTCTCTTCCCTAGAATTGCCAAGTCCTGCCTTTGGGAGTCATATAGAATAAATCAGATCCTTCCTTGTGACAGACCTTCAAATATATTAAGACAACTTTAATACGTGCTTAAACTTTCTCTTCTCCAAGAAAAATTCTCCAGTTCCTCCAACTGTTGATCCCTAAGGTCTGGCTTCCTGGTCCCTCCCTGCTAGGCCTTGTCCTCCATCTGTCAGGAGGCTGACTACAAGGCGACAACCAAATGGAGCACCACCTTCCAGATACGCCTGACCAAGAAGGTAGAGACGGCCACTCTCCCACTGTCCTGCTCTCCAGAAAAATCCCTCCAGGAGGCAGGTTCCTCACTTCACATAAACCAAGACCGCATTTATTAAGTTCCTAATCTACTGTAGGTTCTTTTTTTTGAGATAGAGTCTCGCTTTGTCGCCCACGCTGGAGTGCAGTGGCGAAATCTTGGCTCACTGCAACCTCCACCTCCCGACTTCAAGCGATTCTCTGCCTCAGCTTCCTGAGTAGCTGGGATTAACAGGTGCCCGCCACCACACCTGGCTAATTTTTCTATTTTTAGTAGAGATGGAGTTTCACCATCTTGGCCAAGCTGGTCTTGAACTCCTGACCTTGTGATCCACCTGCCTCAGCCTCCCAAAGTGCTGGGATTATAGGCACGAGCCACCGTGCCCGGCCAATCTACTGTAGGTTCTTAATAAACCTTAGTTTCTTCCTTTTTTTACTCTCCAACACAGACATGGAAATTAAAGTATCCTCTGCCTTTAAATCGTATTCACCTGAGCTCTAAAGAATCTTTAAGAGAGGCTATTTTTATAACTCTACCTAGGTCTTGGTTAAAAAAGATTTTATGCCAGCAATAGCCTATAGTTTTATATTTATTCAGTCTGATACTGGAAAGGGACAGGTTTGAGCTTTGAGATTAAATGTCTGCCCTTTACTGCGTCCATCAGAATACATTTCATTCTTCACTTTAAAGGATCGTTCCTAATTTAACCAAATAGTTTGTTAAGAACTTACAATTCTGCAAGAAGAGAGTATTCCAGGTAGAAGGGTCCATAGGACGCATGTGTGCCATTTGTTGACTGTGCTGCTGGGGCAGGAGACGTAGGCTTAGTTATGGGCAAAGCATTTTTGGGAATAGAAGGCAGCTGTTTCTTTGGTGCAGTTCGTGGAGGACTGGTTTTCACGTCCCCTGTTAATGTCTTCTCTTCACCTTCAGATCGCTATACAAGATGAAGTTGTAAGAATATCTGTTAGGATGATTCTTAAATCACAAGAGTACATTATTAGCTCCATGGCCTAAATGCTGGAATTGCTCCTTTACAAGCACATTCTAACACCATGACCAAAATGACTAGAAAGTCCTTTGGGCAGGCAGGTCATATAAAGAGAAGACAAAGCTGAAGCAAGACCAAAGCATTAGAGAAACTCTTTCATATAGGGAAACTCATCCTATAAGGATGATACAATCAGTGTGTACAGGATTAACTGAAACACACAAAGAAATGGTTTTTCCTAGTGGCCCCAAAAAGAGGGCAAGGGGTTTCTAAGCAATTAGACAACTGTACAAGGCTAGAAAAGTCCCCCAGCACTTAGATGCTACAGAAGGTTAGGTGCTAAGCAGCTCAAAATAGTGTGGATGAAATTAGTCACTGCCTGCTAGCACTTGGGTTAGAAACAAAGAGTGAAGCTATTCTCTCACTTGCTTGAGTCTGATTTTGATTTGTCCCTACTGGGTGTTTTGACATTTCAAATATCACCAGCATAAACTGTCATCCTTCATCAAAGACATAGGTCGACATGAGTCAGAGACTCAACTACCATCTCATAGGTACTTCCTTGGCGCAAGTGCAACCAAAGGCTGTTTAATTAGCTATATAAAAACATGTATATCATATGCATTACTCTAGTGATGGGTACATCTAAAGGCCCTGACTTCAGCACAATACAATATGCCAATGTAGCAAAACTGCACTTGTACCTCATTACTACGTACAAGTAAGGAAGAGATGTATGTCATGTACAGAAAAAAAGTAATAGTGGTGTTTGTTCTCCTAAAGGTGGGATTATGGTTTTTCCTTTTTTTTTTTTTTTGAGATGGAGTCTCACTCTGTCGCCCAGGCTGGAGTGCAGTGGTGCGATCTCAGCTCACTGCAAGTTCTGCCTCCCAAGTTGACGCCATTCTCCTGCCTCAGCCTCCCAAGTAGCTGGGACTACAGGCGCCCGCCACCACACCTGGTTAATTTTTTTGTACTTTTAGTAGAGACTGGGCTTCACCGTGTTAGGCAGGATGGTCTCAATCTCCTGACCTCGTTCGTGATCTGCCCGCCTCAGCCTCCCAAAGTGCTGGGGATTACAGGCGTGAGCCACCGCGCCCAACTGGTTTTTATTTTCTTATTTGCCTATTTTAATCTTTCCTAAAATGAAAAAATATTTTTTAAAAAATCATTTTATTTAGAAAAATTAAATTAGTGCCCGTCAAGTCTGACTTAATGATATCAGACTAGCCTTTCCCACAGCTGTTCTAACTATAGAACCTTGTAGTAGAAAACTACAATATGTCACAAATTTCATCATGTGTAAATATAACCTCAATCATCTTAGAATTGTGATGACCAGAACGATTTCTATTTGTGATGCAATCCCAGTCTCAGAAACACACTTTAACCAACAAAATAATTACTTCTCAAGAGTGTAAGACCTTAACTAGAAAAATCAGGTGATTTTGTCAAGATTACAGGTGACCGTGACAGATTATTTTAGCCTTCATTCTGACCCTGTTTTCAGACACAGAAGCAAATGGGTTTCCTTACTGAATTTATCACTATACCTACTTTGCGTACAGAGCTTGTAGACATGCTCCAGAAAGGGTTCATAACGTGTATTCCAAACAAAGAAATTCAGTGGCGTGTCATCCAAATCTTCTGTCTTCAGCATTCACTTTACCTTAAAACAAGATGGGGAAACATAGAAACAAGCCAACACCAACAATTAAGAGTTTTTTTTTTTTTTAGATGGAGTCTCGCTGTGTTGCCCAGGCTGGAGTGCAGTGGTGTGATCGTAGCTCACTGCAACCTCCAGCTCCTGAGTTCAAGTGATTCTCCTGCCTCAGCCTCCTGAGTAGCTGGGATTACAAGTGCCTGCCACCATGCCCAGCTAAGTTATGTATTTTTAGTAGAGACAAGGTTTCACCATGTTAGCCAGGCTGGTCTTGAATTCCTGACCTCAAGTGATCCACCCACCTCAGCCTCCCAAAGTGCTGGGATTACAGGTGTGAGCCACCACGCCCGGCCAACTGTTAAGACTTCTGAAATGATGAAAACTAATTATGATACCCTGGATATACAATATGTTATATAACAAAGGGTTATAAAATCCTAGGAAAGGGTCTTCAGGCATCTTCAGAAATAGTTTCCTTCTATACCCACTTCCTTTTCTGGTTCTAATTTCTTTCACACTTTTAGACGTCTGTAAGAATCTGTGCACCAAGGTCCCTTGGCCAGGATTCAGATTACTCAGTGACACAGATGAGCCTTGGTGCCAGAAGTTCAGAAGATACGGACAACAGTTGCTACTAGCACATCTCGGCATTTAACTAACAGGAAAGCCAGATTCAGAATGCACTGTACCCACATACACAAAAGTTGTATCACTGTTCCCAGGGTTATGGGAACAAACAATAAAGATACAAGGAGGCTGATTTAAGAGCTGCATTAACTCACTTGAGTACAAAATGATTCCTCCAGCAAATATTAGCCAAAGAAATAAGAGAAAACAGGGAAGGCAGAGCACACGTATGTCACTAAGACGACAGAAGTAGTTACCTGAGTCCTGTCAGTACCATCCCCCAATAAACTGCCTTCTACAACTTCGAAACACAGAAACTGCAGGATCGTGTACTTAAGGAACTGCCAAGCAATCCAGACAAATACAACAAGAGGCACGCAAGAGCGACGGCAAGAGAGACGTTCCAGCCGAAGCTTCAAGTCATGGATAAGAAAGCATGTATCAAAGCTCATAAAGTCAGTGGGTCATTTACTAAAAATACAAAGAAGCAAAGGAAAAGCAACCAAGCCCAGCTGTAAGAACAGCAACTTCTTTGCCCTGGTGATTTTCCCCCAGGCTCTGTTACCTTTAAAGCAGAGCTCCTTCTCTGAATTCCTACTTGCACCAGTCAAAAGGCTGATTTGAAGGTGAAAAGGGTCAAAACTAAGCAACGTTTTCCTAATTTCTTAAGCAGGTCATGAGCAAACTATGTACTAACTGTCCCCAGTCAGCAATAATTTGTCTTTTCTGACGAGCTTGTGACATCCAGGGACGTACTCAACCCAGGTCATCCATACCTTGCCAGTGCCTATTATTGCTGTTTTCTTTTCCAAGAGAAAATGCCACCCAGTAATTAAATCAGAGGAATGAAGATCCTGGTTCTTCTACTAGCATGGATAACATCCAATAAGTAAAAACAGCTCTCCGCAAATCTGCCTTTAAAGGTGAGTATGACACAGTGAATATACTTGGGATATCAATAATGTGCGGGGGAATGTTCCCGTTTGGCTCAAATGAAGACACTGATTTTCAGATCTAGTAGTAATGTGCAGCACCCCAGTGTCCTCTAGGACACACCTAACACGGGACCCTATCCCTTGGGACACAGTGGTGCACTCCACCACATACATTTAATGGGTTGGTGCAAACCTGTAAAGTCTCTTTCAGGTCAAACGCGTTAGGATTCTCTTTAAGAATTCTCCTTTAAGAATCCAATAAATTTTGTCCTCAGTTCTGCCTATCATTAAGCAGGAGGTATCGTCTTCTGCTGCTTAACTTTGCCATGGATCTTTTAATCCAATGTTTCCAGCAGCAACATAATCACGAGACCGTGTAGTACACTTTTCAGGGTCTAGTCTAGGACAAGCACAGCATACATGTTCTGAGAAGAATGACATAGATGGAAGCACGACATAGGTTACATCCTTGTCATTAGGAAACAATTTTAGAATTTCTGCCTGTTCAGCCACGGCTGCATTCCTTTACATCACCCAGCTGAGAAGTCTGGGTCTTCAGCCTGCGCGAATGATAGTGCATGGCAGAGCTAAAACTAGGCTAAAACATGAGCGCTGCTGTTACTCTTCATGCCACAGCGCACTCACATCACCCCGAATCGGACTTAAGAAATTACACGTTAAGAGGAGACAGAGCAGCGGCCAGAAAAAAGATGAAAACGGCCCGGGCCAGGCTTGCTGGGGACAGCAGGGACCTGCGGCGGCCTCGGACCGGCACCCTCACCGCGGGCGGAAACCCGTCTCTGAGCACTCAGGGAATCTGGACAAACCTGTCTCGAGGTGATGCAAGGC